TTTTTTTTTAATATAAATTTAATATATAAATATACATAAAAAATTTTTTGTACGTTCAAGTGCAGTTATCTACAGTTAATAATAAACATTGACCATAAACATTAATTAACCATAAACATTGAAACTCAATTTCATGAAATGCAGACACATGCCATGTATGCTATTATTTTTAAAATTATGACTAAATAAATTTTTTGTACTAAAACTAAGGAATAAAGTTTTAATTTCATTTAAGGAAACAATAAAGAGTATCATTTTAAAAAAAATTATATTTATTATAAATAGTTAAGTCACGCTAACTTTCTTAAGCTGTCGTGTCTGTCACAATTCTTTCTCATGTGTGTCACTCTAGTAAACATTTTTTAAAAAAGTACTTTTAAATTTTATTTTTTCATGTCTTGGAACTTTTTTTGTAAAACTAGTTTTGTTTTGTAAAACTAAATTATATGCCATTTTCCGTATCCTTGTCCGTCTTGTCTTTCACGTCATATTTTTATATTATTAATTAAGATGCTTATTTACCTGAAGGATATGTTTTGCATTATTTTCAATTGAGATGTGTATAATACGCTGCACAACGGAATTTGAGAAGATACCTTAAAATTTAGTCACTAAAATTAGGCAAAAAAAAGTTGTCTGTTACCAATAAAATTGACCTGATAAAAAATCAGAAATAAACTTTTTCATAAATGATTATGAATTTTTTCGACAAGTTTAAGTGTTTTTCTCGTATGAACGAAAGCATTTTAGGAATTCCGCTTTTTATTTAAAAGATTCAGAATGGGTGAGGGAGGGGGAAATGATGCATCGCTATTTTTTTTTTATCAGCAAACTTTCGATTAGTGAAATCAATATTCCCTAAGATTTTCGTTCAAACCGTGTTTGTAGCATTCACACTCACACCAGAATAGATTTATTAAAATGAAAGCTTAAAAAATTTGCCGACGAGCATAATGATTTCGGAAAATTCTTCCGCTCAGAAAACATTCTGAAATCTGAGAGCACATTTATCTACCTAAGATCTGCGAAAATTTAATATCTAGCAAGGTCTTGCTTAAGCAAGACTAAAATGAAATCTTCTCAACAATAATCTTAATTTTCACGATAATGTCACGTAGGATCTTCTTTTGGTAAGCTTTTCAATTCACTGAAAAAAATAAAACCTTTATTTTCCGTGTTTGTTAATTTCTTTTAAAAAAATTATACTCAACGGAATTGTATTGCTTTTACTGTGATCGTTTATTGAAAAATTTTGAAACAGAATTATGGTAGGAGTTTTAGCCTTACAGTTACTCATTGAGAAAATAGGTAGGTACTTTATTTACGTCACACTAGACCTGCACGATGGGCTATTGGCGACGGTCTGGAAAATATCTCTGAGGATGATCCGAAGACATGCCATCACAATTTTGATCCTCTGCAGAGGGGATGGCTCCTCTGCTTTGGTAGCCCGACTACCTGCGCGAGAACTCGAGCACTTTACGGTAGAACAGTTTAACGAGGATCGATACCGCACACCCTCGGTTCCTACGCAGGCTAATCAAAGTGGTCACCCTCTCGCTTACTGACAGCAGCCAGTAATGCTTGACTTCGGTGTTCTGCTGGAAACTGTGTCTTCGAGATCAGTCCACCGAGGGACTTTGAGAAAACAAATTTGTAAAAAATTTGAGATAAAAAGTTATCGCAAAAAGAACTGTCTTACCAAAAATTTTATAACTTTAAAATGTTTATAAATTTCCCATTTAATACAGTTTATGTTTAGGCTTTTTTTAAATTCCTTTTTATATTAAAATTTTCAAATGTTTAAGAAAAATTATCCCTTTCTAATTTGTTCCGCTTCAAAACAAAAATTTTTTTACAAAATTAAATGTTTGACATTTATTTTTAGCCTTCATCTTATTTCATTTCGTAAAGGTATTATAAAGTGATTTTTATCTATCTTTGTGCCGATGATTCATTGTGAACTGAGTAAAAAACAATTTTATCTTATAAATGAAAAAAATAATCACTTTTTTAATATGATCGTCGTTAAAATGATAAGAGTTATTAAAAAAAGTGTCCATAACCCCAATATTTTACCGATTTCTCCTCTACACAATTTAATTGGTTTTGTTTTAGGATTTAGGGTATATTAACAAATTCATTAATAGTTCAATATCTTTTAGCTCACATCAAACTGACTTTCATTTCAAACTTATATATTTTCATATAAACTGCTGCAATCAAAAGATTGCAGTAGATTATATTAAAATATATAAGTTTGAAATGAAAATGAAATACCTGTCTAAATGCCTTAAGTGAAATAGTAATCTCGCTTTTTTGTTACCAAATTTGATCTGATTTTAAAGATTTCATTTCCTTTTCATAATTCCTTTTCTTATGAGAAAGATAAAATTCCAACCTGGACTTCGATTTTTAATTAAAACAGTATTAATTTCACGATGAGGATAAAATTTTTTATTCCTCGTAGCACAGGATCATTTTCAATTTTAATAAAAGCTCATTTTCTCACTATAATCTATTTTTATTTCAAAATATGTTATAAATATAGATTTTAAATAGGCTTTAATATTTTTTAAAAAATATTTAATAGGAACAATGATTTGTAATTCTTACTTCAAAGGATACATTCGAAGACCTTTGTCCATCCCTGGGCAGTAGGATAAAAAGGCAGCTAAGGCCGTTTCAAACACCAAACCGAAGTTCAAAACGTGATTCCTGTAAAGAAAAACATTGTAATAAGAAATTCTAAAACTATAGTCTAGACTCTAGGAAGGCAATTAAGTCTTTGGCGCTAAATTTTCATTAAACGAATTTTTATCATAATTTTTTTATTATCCTGTATTAATTTAAGCCGAAATAAGCGAAAAATATAATACTTTGCATTTAAATAATTTATGGTTATGAAATACAGCATGAAGAGCCGGTGTCTTTTTCTGCGTTAACCGTAATAACTCCCTAAGATGGCTCACTTCCAAACAATAGTTTTTCAAACTTGAACTTGCTGATAGTGATATCTAAGAAAGACTGTTATTCATAATTGAAATTTCCTTAATTTGTAAAATCAAATTATCCCTTGCAATTTCTAGTTCAGAAAAAGTAATGTTAAGTTGAACACCCAAAACAGCGGCGGTTGCTAGCCATTTAAATTGTTTTTCCATGAGCAGAATATATCACAATCTGAATTGACAAACATGGGAGATTTTTAAGTCTTTATTTTTTACACTATATAAGACGAAAGAAAATGCCTTTTCTATTGATCAAATGCGGACATTTTTCTGAAACTTCATAAGTCCGTTGCCCACATTCCCCTGCATTGTTATTAGACATGCAAAATAATTCCTTTATTATACAATTCAGATTGAGACGGAGGTTTTACAGTAGCCTGGTAAAAGTGAAAATTAAATTCGAATCAAATATAAGCAGCTAGTTGGTTATTCCCTCATATTTTTTCAAATAAATTCCAACCCCATATTTGTTACCTTTTCCTTTGATTGCAAAAGATTTTCCTATTTAATGCATAGAACACCTTTTAATTAAAGTCCTTAATCAGATACAGCTTTTTGTTTGCCAAAGCATTTATTTTTTCAAAAAATAATATAAACTAAATCTTTGAACTAGTTCTAGTTTCGTAAAACAATAAAATATGATGGACGAGGTAGAACTGCAAGTCTGAATACCTAAAATGGTTTAAATTTGATTCATAAAGTAGAGGTATTGTGTTATCACTGAAAACAATAAAATTTTTGATGATACAATGATAACGATTTCTGGGGCAAAATTTAAATTAATTTAGGCATGTTTTTAAAATAAAGACATCTAAAATTACACACCACTTTAAATAATTAAATTCAAATAAAAACTAGTTAAGTTGAATATATTAAGTAACATACTTTTTAATCCTTTAAATGATATACTATATTAACTGAAAAATGACATTGATATTCATTAATAATGGATGATAAAGAATAAACAGTTATTTTCAAAAGCTCTTACTTCATTCCTTGATGTAGTATAGAATTTCTTCGAGTCTTGCAAATAATAAGATCAGCCCATTGGACAATGACAATGGATGCGAAAAACGCTGTGTGGCATGTATATTCTAGAATCTTTCTGTCAAAGTATGTCTAGATAAAAGCAAAATTTAAAAAAAAGGTGTTAAAAGTATAAAAATTTTTTATTTTTTTTCTGACTAAAGCTTTATTCATGTGCTTTGGAATACATGGTGTTTAAACATCTTTGTAATTAAAAATATCGCAACCTTTATAATATGAATTTATTTCATATTTAAAGAATCTACAATTGGAATTTGTCCTTTTTTAACGCTTGACGGAACGTGGATTTAATTCATCAAAAACCATTGCAATGAATTTTAGAATTTTATGAATTTTAGAATTTTTCTCTACATTACTTGATGCACACTGACGGCAGATATGATGAAAAAATAAAAAAGCAAAAAATAACAGTTTCCAGAACTTTTAACAATTCTTTTAATAAAGCGATAACCATATTTTAAACTGTGCGTTTTTTAATTTACTATTTTTTGAAAAGTATAAAGATAAAGGAAATCATTTTATTTCAGACGTGCATACCATGACCGTCTTTTTTTTTGCCTCTTAAAGGATTAATAATCTAAATGAATAAGAAACGGAACGTTGGAAAATTTAAATTTTGATTTAAACGTCAACACCAATATCACAAATAACGTTACTATCTATTCAAATGTGGATTTTTAATTTCATGCAATTATATAAAAGTTATAAATGAAGAGCAACAGTAAACTTACCAATTTTCCATGTTTTTTTATTTATTATTTTTAAAAATTTTTTTTTTTTACATTTTAAGTGGGTTAGTGTTTTTTTTTTACATTATTCTAATTGTGTCCACAATTAGGATTCAGTTAATTTAATTTTATGTTTTTTTTACAAACCATTAACATTTGAATTTTTTTTCCAGGAAACTTTAAAGAAAAAAAATCAATGAATGACATAATTCAGTTTGATTTATCGATACAAACAGGTAAAATTCCTCGTAACAGGTAAATATTGTATTTCGTCTTGATCGGAAATCTTATACTATTTGTAATTGCGTGAAAGTGGAATTTTTGTTTGAGCATAACTTACCCATTCCTGATTATATGAATCTGTAAGGTCATTTACAGCTTTCGAATCCCATTCTTTTCTTATGCCTAGCAGTCGACCTGGAAGGAATCCATTTTCTCCCATGATAACAAAATATGCAAAAAATCCTGCAGCTCCTTGAATCATTCCTATTTGACCGTATGCTATAGATATTAACCTGCGCAAATCATAAATAAATATAAGCATTTGTTATAAGGTATATTTCCGAAGTAAATTTTGTTCCTGTTTCGCAGATGCAAGCTTCATTACAAGCATGGATTAACATTATAATAAAATGTCAAGAAACGGAATTTAGATGCCCTGCTTTCAAAGGCATGTAGGAGAACTTACATACAAAAAATAAAGCAGTAAAAACTGTTATCAAATTAAAACAAAAACAAAGCTATCTAATTATTTGTATTTCGATTTTGGGTTTAGGACTGTAACATAATAATTGAACTAGTAACTTTTTTTTTTCTGAACGTTTGGATCATACAACTCTTTAATGTTGAAAATTTATGTAGTCCTTTAGAAAGTTTTATGCGCTGTACTGTTGCATAATAGTTCGATCATAAAGTTCCCTTTTGAGATGAACGTATTGGAGTATAAAACATTATACTCTTGAAAATTTGGAACACGAAATGGTTTCTCTAAAAATTTCCGCACACAGCGTTGTAGCAGAATGGATGGAAAAAGGCCTCTTGGGTCTTGTTTGGATCATGACCAAATATCGTTGAACTTTTTGGAATATTTAACTTTTCCTGCTTCGAAATTCTATGCAAAAAAATATTTCAAAGAAAAGTTTTGTACTGTACGGTAACACAATTATTGAACTAATAAGCTTTCCATTGTTGTACTGTAAAACTTTTAGTCTTATGATATTCTAAGCATAAAAAATATTCACAATACTGTTTTAAAAATTTTGAACTTAATTCAGGAGCAATAAGTCATTGATAATTTATACATTACTACGTTTTCTAGCATCATTTTGTTTCACATTTTTTTCGTATTTTTGATGTTACCTTTTTTGAGGAGAAAATCGCGTCTTTGGCATCTAGTATTTTCTATACAAAAAATAGATGCAGGGCAAAAGCTTCAATGTTGAGAGCACAGCACTGTTTCTGAAAACTATTTTGATAGGAAAACAGTTTTTCTTTCAAATTATATGAATTTATGATAAAGTTTGACTCTGAAAAGCAAAACAAAAATAATTTTTGAGCATCAATCACATACGCGTAATTATTTCTGTAAGAGTAGGGTCGTTTTAAATATAGTATGATTTATTATGTGTTGCAGCCACCGATTAAATAGCAATCTAATGTTAGAAGAACATGAATCCGCCTGAGATCACTGAGATAGTTGGCCAAGTTCTATTGACAGGGAATAATAATAATAATAATAAAAAACAAAAACAAAAAATTCATTTTTGTTAAATTTCGGACAAATTTTTTTAAAATTAAGCATTTCACATGCTCTTCAGAGCATTTATAAATATATTTTTCACGCAAAAAAGGCAAAATATTGCCATACCAAACAAGATGCAATTAAAAAGCAACCGATCAGAAACCTTAGTAAACAAATTTTGAATTAAATTAATTAATGAACCTTTATTTTCAAAAGAACAGGGATGGAAAAAAAGTTATTGACTAAAATGTTTATATTCTAAAAAGTTGGTGTAAGTATTCAGTTTACTCTGAAAGAGAATTTAATAATTGTCTTTTTTTTCTTACTCGGTGAATTGTTTCCTTCAATTGACGGAAATTAATATGAACTCCGCTAGAGCTTAATCTGATTCGGTTTCCGCAAATCTTTTCCTATATCTGATCAAATCTTTTTGTATACCTTTTCCTATTGTTAATATTTTTTTAAATTTTGCTTCCTTTCTCTTTAATTCTCATGTAATATTTAGTTCATAACCCAGAACGTTTTTACTATATTGTGCATGTAATAAAATGTGCATCTGGGACAATACAATTGTTTTTGACTCTTTAGCTAATTAACTCGACATTCGACCAACCGACACCATTCCATCGTTATGGACGTAACATTCGTAGATTTTGAATTTGTATATTTTAATGAAAAATCATCAAAAAGTTTAAATATTTGCTGGGGCATTTTGAATTTGTTCCAAAACTTTTTAACTTCCATGAATTTGAAATTTTTAAAAGTAATAAAAATTGACTGCTATGGAAGAAACTAACACTAATGTCAAAATTGCACAGTGGGCAATTAGTTTGCATATTTTTATGAATTATAATAAAATTTGAATTTTTGTTAAATATATTCAGCAGATTATGACGTTTTGAAAGCAATCAAGTTTTAAAGATCACGACTTTAAATAATTATGAAAAACGTAAATTAGTTTGCTACGGACGTAACACTTTATGATTTTAAAAATTATGGATTAGCTTTTACAATATGGAGACCGTAAATAAGTAAAAGATTACAGAAGAAGACTTAATTTTAAGAATAAATAGTCTCAATGATTTTATGAACATATTTGATAAGCAAGAAAGAATTTTATCAAACAAATACTTTTTGTACACTTCTTTTACAAAAGAAATAATTGCATAAAGATTAAGTGAGAAGTTCATTTTTTGATCATGTTTGTCATTAAATAAGAAATAAATACTTGTACTCCTATTTTAACTTTTACGTAAGAATTTTATAATACCGTAAAGATCTTTATCATAGGAAAAAAATCAGAAAAGTTAAATTTTTCCTTTGAATCTGTGATGGGTTCAGCAAGTCTTCTTTTTTAATTAATTTCTCTATCATTGTTTACTATCAGAAAAAATTGATATACTGAAGATAACGAAGTTTTTTTCAGTTCTGTAAATAAATTGTCACATGGCAAATGATTTGAGATCATTGCATATGAATATATTCTTCGTATAGTGTATGCAACTGCTGTGTAATTTAGTCATTTATCCTTTGAACTTCGTTTTGTTGTCTAATCATACATTTCTCACTGAAGTCCACTTGATGAGCACATATTTTATTAATGTCCGAATTTTTTTTTCTTTTTCGAAAATAAAGATATTGCTCTGTTTAACGCAACAATGCTCATGAAATTAAAGCTTCGATGAGGTTTGAAATACTTTAATATTTAAGTAAGTGTCAACCCAAACTTAGAACAGTTTCAAGGAATAATATATCCCATAAATATCACCATTTTTACAAACAATATAATTACAATATACTTTCCTTGACTTTATTTGAAGATTGGTAGTTTATAGTAAAGTAGAATTTGGTAGTTTATTAAAGATTTTAGAACAAATAATTCAATTAACTTATATTCTTTAATTTTACAAAAATAAAAGGTTAAAAGCTAAGAAAATTTAGACACTGGTGTGAAGTATCATTAGCTGAATGATACTAGTTGTCTGTATGCATTTTTACTGGTCTATTTACCTGATTTTTTTAGATCTTGTAGTCCATTTACCTGATTTTTTTCGATAATTTTTTTAGAAACTAGCATATTGTAAAGTATATGAAAAGCAGTTTAAAACAATAGTCATACGGTGTCAGAAATTTGTTAGCACCGTTGTCATTCAGTACGCCGGGAATATAAATGCTTGTTTTATGCAAATCTTGCAAATAATTTCAAATTATCTGTAATATAATTTACATTAGTTGTTCTTGTTCTAAAAAAACTCTAAGTTAAATATTCTATTACTATGAAAATAAGGAATTAATAAGAGAAATTTGCATTTTAATTTTTCGAAAGATCTATGAATATATTTTCAAGTGCACTGAAAGTACTCGAAGAAAAAGTTTTACAAATTTTTTTTTACTTTTTCAAAATAACGTTGCTTAGTATTACCCTGTGTTTCAAAATTATATGAATGCAATACTTAGAATTTAAAAAAAAGATGTTATGCTAACATGTTTAAAATGTCGGATTAACTGCAAATTCTATCTTTATTTCGATATCCAAATTTTTGAGACATAAATCAATTATTTAAGGAAAAAATATTTTCAAAATTAACAAGAAATTTCTAAAACAAAAAGTTAGAAAATTCTTAAATAAATGAATTATTTTTAATTTTGATTCACAAAAAAAGATTATTTTTATGATTTTGCTGCATGACTTGAAGTAAAATATACTAAAATCTATAAAATGTTTCACATTTTCTTAAAGAATAAATTGCTATATTAGCATTTTTTTTATTTCTGCACTTCTGATATTTCCTCTGCAAAGTTTTTTTTCCGTCTCTTTGTTAGCCTCAACGTGATGCACCGCAATAAGGCACAGCTTTGCATACTTAAAAAAACTGTTTAATACTTATTTAAAAAAACGCTTACCATAATGTGTTTTAAATTTAAGTTTTCTTAAAAAATATAGATTCCATTTAGGCTATGCAATTTTGAATTTCAAAGAGTTCTAATACATTTTTATGAAAGATATATGCATTTCAAAAAACTTTAGACTTATAGAAAATGTTTGCAAGAGCTTAATGTTTGAATAATATGTAATGTAATAAGTTTCTATGTTTAATTCGTACAAACGACGCTTCCTACTATGCATTCTTATATCCAACTAGTTTTATTTCTTGTTATATAGCATTTGGTAGGTTTCGATATCTATTGCCTCAATTTTTGAAGTATGTCTCAAAAATAAGATGATCTATGAAAACACTAAGATGATAAAATAATATCAGTTTATTAAAATTTAAAGGTTTTTAGAAATTTGCAGCAATTTTTTTCTCATAATCCTGTTGGAAATTTTTACATTCAATTTCATCTTCTAAAAGAATTTATTGATATTGACGGCAACTTTTTCAAAAAAATTACTGAGAAGTTTTATGATTAATTTTCAAGAAGGAAAAAAACACTCTCCGAACAATTTTATGAAACTTCTATGCTGATTTTAATAATTAGAAATAATTCGACTGGAAACAATTCTTTTAATTTTTCGAAATGTTTTTTAACTGCAAGTTTTCTTACTTCATGGATCACAGTAGATAGTCCGTAACAGATTGATAGATGATAGATTAAAAATTTAAAATTCCTAGTTTAACATTTTGTTTTTATTTAGTAAATAAGTTTCGACTCAATAATTGAATGAGTATTATTGAGCTAAAAACTAATTTATTGGATTGTTTACTTATCTTTCATTGAATGGATGATGAATTTGCATTTATGAAGAATTCTCACATGAACATACCTCTCATTCACAAGTTTATCCATGCTAGGATCACGTGGTTGCCTTTTCATGATGTCACTCTCGGGGGCTTCGTATGCTAAGGAAATGGCAGGTACCTGCGGGACCATACTCCTTATGTCAATAGTATTCAATATTAAGTACGACCCATAACATATAATACTGCTCGCAAATATACTGTACATTTATTTTTTAAACTGTACATTGCGATGCAGTATAACACTTAATATGTGAATGATGGTTAGCCACCTAGACCAACAACAATGAAGCAACATTGCAGGTTGGCAACAGTTCAGCAACATCGATTCTATGACATGCAATAGATGAAGCCATGCAATTTATACATCTTTCTTAATTGGGTCAATGTTGCATAAATACACAGCTTTAGGAAAAATCTCGATTTTTGATTATATAGTTTTAAAAATAAGTTGTTCACTCATCATACTACATGACAATTATTTAATTATTATTTTTCATGTAATTATTTAAACCTTTAAACTCAGAATTTATTTTGTTAGAAAAAATCAAAAAATTAACCAGAAATAATTAACCACTAATTTTAAAATGACCTTTGATTCATTTTATTGTAGAAATGGGAATTAACTATTCTTGATAATGTGCTTGATAACCAAACCTTATGCATATTATTCACTACTTAATTCGCTTACGCTTCACGAGCTTTAAATAAACTCTTTTCATTTTCTTTTCAATATTTCTTGTTAAAAAAATTAGAAAAATTTAATTTAGATTTAACGGATGTAAAAAAGATCGGCTTAATTCAATCAAAGTCTAATAAATGAGACTCTAATTTAGTTAAACCAATTTGTTTTCATAAATTTCAAATAATTTGTTAGGATTAAGTTTTTTTTCCCTCGGAGTAAATATGTTTTTTATTGTTATTATGTTTTTATTTGAAACTTCTAAAATCATTCGCAAAGTAGTATAATGTGAATTTTGAAATTATCAAATATTTGTTACTTGAAACATTAAGTATCTGAATAATGAATTATTTTAAAAGTTTAATTAATTGAATGGGGCGCAAAGTATATTGAAATCTTCCCTCTATATAAATATCTTTAGAACTTTTCCGGAAAGTTTTAATAGTATTAAAATATTTTAGTTATTTGTACTGTTGTATTTTTTAGTTATTATTATTTACTGTTTTTTTTTCAATAAATTTTTCAATAAATAAATTCAAATGAAATTTTTTAAATTTTAAAAGCTTTAGGTATAGGAGAATCAAAAGACAAAATGGATGGATACAAGCTGTATTATTTTGGGTTCAAAATATAAAAACCATCGAAAGCTGAAAAATAAAACACACCGATAAAAAAACAACAAACTTAATATGGAACAATGTTTTTTTTTTCCATTTTAGCACGTAAATATTCAAGAGCATATTAGATTGCAAATTTATTGGCACTCTGAACATGCAGACAGCGGTAGAGCAGGCAATTTCTTTTTTACATAATACAATACAATGGATAAAGCAGAGCATTCTTCACGGTTGTAGTTTTTTTATTTAAATACGAAAAAAAAAATCAAGTGATTACTTTGTTCTTTTTCAGAAACCTCTTTAAGACCCACAGAGAAATTTCTTTGCAATCTCGAAGATTTTACAACCTTTTATACATAAAGAGTTTTAAAACATTTCCTGTGATGGGAATTATAACGCGCACTTAAAAAAATAAATAAACATATAATGTTTTTCTTTCACTTTTGTAGCATTCGATTTACTAGAATCCATTTAGAACGATTTTTTTTCGAAACAATTTGTAACGTTTTGAAAAAATTCTTAGTATTTAAAATGTATTGATGGTTGTGCTGTACAATGTACAACGCTTTTTTATTAACATTTTTTCAATTCCAAAAACACGATAATACGCAAAATTCGAATATGATTCAGTTGGCTTAAAAATTATATTCAAAAGAACCTTACCAGCAACATTTACCATTTAAGAGTGAGTTACAAAATGTTTTGAAGCTTTCGTAAGTTTTTAGTGGAATGTTTTATTAAATTTTATGGAACAAAATGAAGCATTGAAAAACTCACATACTGCCATTTTGTTTTAAAAGAATGAAATAAGAACGTCAGTTAGAGAATTAATATTTTAAAGATTTTTGAATTAAGAAGTGATTTAATCATATTCGAGTATTGCCTGTTACCGATTTTGAAACAGAAATTCTTGTTTAAAAATTTTTAAAACAACCCTTAGCCTCAGAAGCAATCCTCTTAATTTCATTGAAACATTTAGAATTTTCTGAAATAGTTAAATTGTTGATAAACTTGTTGATGGATCAAGAACAATTATTCTCATTTAGAGGTTAAAATATTCAAAACTTTCTTTAAAGTAAAACTTATGTACAAGGAAGTTTTTTTTTATTATGTACCGACTAACTTCTTACTATTCACGAGTTATATTTTAATATTAATTTATACTAACATTCATCAATTTATTTAAAGTTTTTACCCTTTAAATAGTATAGTATATCTTGATAAATATTATAAATATCACAGCGTTTTCATTCTGATGTTGTTTAATGTGTTGTAATTTTGATAGTGGTGCAGATGTTTCGTATATAAGACGTGATGTTCTTCAACATGTTTCTTTTTTAGTTTAAAAGTCACCACAATTATATAAAGATATGGAAATGAAGCAAATTGCTTTTAACAGCAATGATGAATTCAAATAATAAGTTCGTTGTCAATAAACCAGCTTGAATCATACATGAATTTTAAATTTTATATGAAGTAAAGAGAATGAATAATGAAGTGTGAAGGGTTAAAAAATGGAGGAAACAAAACTAAATGAGAGAAAAACGCTATGATTTTCCTAGCGTAAGCTGAAAAGTTCAGTCCACAAATTTTTATTATAATATATAAAATAATTTCAAATATAACTCTGGTAAAAATTTGAAATCACGCAATGCATGTTCTTTATTTAAAGGTACCGAGTTATTTAGAAAATTATGAGCATAGTAATATTAAAAGAGCTTTTAATATTAAAATACTCACATGAATTAGTTATTTTTTTCATTAATTTTAAAAAAAAACATATTAAGTTCCTTACACAAGACAAAAACTGGAAAACATTAAATTTCCGGGGAAAATCAGCACATTTTTTTTAACTAATACTATTCAAACACTTATATAAAAAAGACATGCTTTAATTTAATACGTAGTTTTTATGTAAAGTGAGTAATTTAGATTTATTAATGCATTTGATTTAATTAATTTGACTAACGCATTCGAATCTATTGATTTGAATAATGCATTAAATTCTATAAATTATGTAATGATTATGATTTATCTGATATGATTGACGCTTTCGATTTAATTGATTAGTTAATCCTTTTGATTTGAAGTGCCAGTAAATGATTTGTTTCCTCCACGTGCTGATGATAGGGGTGTGTTGATGGAATTACCTCTCATTCACTAGCTTATCAAATTTCGGGTCTCGAGGCCTCCGTTTCATTATATCGGATTCGGGTTTCTCGTAAGCCAGAGAAATAGCCGGCACCTACAGGAAAGTAACAACCACCACAGAAACAAATGAGCAGAACCCACACATGCAACAACAACATTCCATACATAGCATTCCAAAATAATGTAGTACACACAGAACAACAACAAAGATCAAATGCAAGGCAATTAGATGCTTTTTCTTTTGCAATAAAAATATGTTTTCACAATCAGAATCAACAGTGGCATATATTTAGGAATATTACAAATTAAATATGTATTAATAAGGCAATGAATTGACTTTTTCAAAAATTTCTAATTGAAACGTAATTATTTTTTCAAATAATTTCTGCCATAATATTTTTTATTTAATTTATGTTTAAGAAATTAATTTATTTTATATAAGTTTTGTATTATACATTATATGGAAAAATAAATAATTTAGTTTCAGAAAAAAATATTGAATTTTATTAGAGCATTCCGAAAAACTCCGTTAAAATATAGAATATTATTGTAATAAGATATATGCGATAATCTTAAACATTAAGTAAAATAAAAATATCTGAATTGTATTAAATAAAGGTAACATATTCAATAGTTATTATATGAATAGGAATCTCAGAATTATATAGACTAAAAAATCGAAGAGTCTTCGGTACAACTCAGAATTCGATTGATAAAAAAAAAACATGAGAAATTTCTATGATAATTGAATTATTTCATACAATCGAATATTTAAAAATCTTTTAACAATATGGGAAATTAAAATATCAGAATTAGAAAAATAGCAGAAATTTGTGCGAAAATATGAATATTGCAAGAAATCGGAACATCAGAATTATGTTAATTAAAAAGTAGAGGAGACTTCCGAACAATTTGAATTATTTCAGAAAATTATAATTAGATTAATACAGAAAAACACGTGAAATTTTAGTAAAAATCTGAAATAGTACATAAAATCAGAATTCGACACAAATCAATTCGGAAATTTGAAAGCTACAGAATTTAATAATCTGAACTTGGTGTTCTGATTACTATGAATCATACTGATATCAGTTACAATCATATCGTTAGCAATAAATGTTATTTATAATACCTTAATTAATATTAAACTTTAACATACTTCGCAAACTAAAAACAATTTATTATCTACTATTTGCAAAAGAAAAAAGAAATCGAAATTTGGTTTTAGATTTGAAAAAGTCAATGCACCAAAATAGATCAATGATGTTTTAATAATACTCAATTTGAAATAAAGTTAGCTATAAAAACAATTATTATTTAAAATATTTATAATTATAACACATAATAAAAGAAGAATAGGAAAATTAGATTTCGAATTCTGGGTTTTCCTAATTACTTGAAAAAACAACAGTATTTTCTCAATTTATTAAATAAATAGGAAAATTTAATTTTGACTACTTTTAAACTCCTTATTAGGTATTATATAAAAATAATTTTAAAGCTTTTTTTTAAAGAGTCACTACATTAAAATACAACTTTCAAGAACTTTTTTCATTTTAAAACATTCTATATTTTAAAAAAATTATTAGTTTAAAAATTTAATTATTACATTTCTTAAAAATAATACCATCTTTTTGAAAAATACAAAACTAAGCACTTGAAGTAACCAACGTTACTGATATTAAAATATAAAAGTAACCAACGTTAGTCATATTTAAATATAATTGAATAACATTAACAAAAATTTAGGCAAGGGTTTAGTCAACAGTATTTTTTTAAAATTATTTTTCAGTTATTTTGTGATAAAAACAATTATTGATGATATTAACTCGAAAAAATATACTTGTTAAATGTATTCAGTAAAAAAAGTTTTAAAACACACACGCACACTCAACTGGTAATAAAAAGTATTCGTGCTGTTTGCCATGCAACATTTTTGTACTTACCAAATCAGTTCCAAGATCTATGCACAATATAGTTACTGTTCCTAGCGGTAGAGGTACGTCAGCCAAGATGAATAATAGAAATGGTGTGATTTCCGGAATATTACTAGTTAAAGTATAAGCAATGGATTTTTTTAAGTTGTCGAAAATCAAACGACCTAAAGAAAAAGATTATCTTATTTCCGTGGTGTTCTGTAAACACTGCTCTTCATACGTATGTTTTAAGGATCTTGTCAAAAAAGTCATAAGAATCTAAAGTATTAGGATCTACATTGAAGAGATTTTAATGGATTGTTTATATCCGCAACTAAAAATGCAATGAATAATATTGTCAATGTCAATTTTTTAGCTGTACTGCGAAATGGAAAATAATCAAGTCGAATGAAACGAAGTAATTAATAATATAAACATGGTAGATGTTTAATAAAATAGGAGGTACTATAATATGAAATAAATAACTTAAGTATTTTGTAATAACAGAACAAGTTTTGCACTACAATAAATTATAACTAAAATATATGAACATTTAAGTAAAATTTCCATAAAAATATAATAAAAACAATAACAAATCAATAACAGTTTAAGATACTTTTTATAAAGCAAATTACACACTGTTTGAAATTTTTCATATAAAATGGCTAAATAACAATTTATTTAGTTATTTTACCATAATCAAGCAAAATAGTCAAATAACCATAAATAAGATGGTATGCAAACTGTTAACTGTGAGAAACATCGTTTATCAACTGCTTTCATCTAATGAGGTTAAACAACCAGAATTTTATCGCTCCAATTAAGCCCGCCCTATGAAGTCAATTAGTTTCTTGTAACTGTGTATAGATTTTAGCCGAGAGGGCTAATAATAGGCTATAACCGCCAGAACTGGAGTTCAAGTCTGAGCGTTAACACCACTATATTTCAGCTATTCCCTTCAACACATGAAGAATTTATAATGTCCCGCACTCCTCAATTTGCGACCCTGGACTATTAAAACACGATACTTCAGATGACTCATAGATAATAGCACCACAAAGCTACTGTACACAATAAACTCTTGTATATCTCATCTCTTACGATGGTTGAAATAACCTGATAAACAAATTAAACCACATTTCACCGTTTATTTAATAAAACATAACTCAGCCATTCCAATGCCCATTACCTAACGAAAATCCCTGCTCTAATGTCCAGTTAAATTTATTTTTTACGGTTTTGAAACCATGCTAATTGTAAATGGTTAAAAAACTGTATAGATTTGTGTTCTTGGTTGTCTAATCATGCGAGTTGTAAACAGTTTTAAGACCGTAAAGATAAGAAATGTTCTTTAATCGTAATCTTTACTGTTAATTGGATAGAAAGATTGCAATAGGGTTTTTTTTTTACCGTAATTTTTTAATGAAAACTCTAACAGTGCGGTAGTAACCTCTTCGGAAACTCATGTTTCTAAAACTTGCAAATCATTTAAAGTGTACCAGAGAAAAAAAAATCTTGTATTAATAAATTCTTTCAAACTTTTTAAAAACAATTTTCAAGAAATTAATTTCTACATCGTGTAACTAAGAATTTTATGTAACTAAAACAAATTTTACCTTCTTCGACTCCTGTTACAATTGATGCAAAATTATCATCTAACAGAATCATGTCTGCAGCTTGTTTACTCACATCACTACCCGCAATACCCATGGCGACACCTAAATAAGTTTTTAAAAATTTTTTTAAAAAAAGAGCATTTTTTAGAAAATAAAGCAATAAATAACTTTTACTTAATTTAAATAAATAAATGCAAACATTTAAATAAAAAAATTATATTGCTCACTTTCTCAAATGTTGAATTATAAATATTTAAACTTAGTGGGACAAATTTATAAGTTGCAGACAAAAATAGAAATATAATTTAATTAAATCAGCATCGATAAAAGAGAATTTCATAGCTGATAAAAACATGAGTATCGACTGACGTATCTCTCAACATCATGCCATCTGCTGTATTTGTCCAAAAGCACGGCTGTTAAACGGAAACTAAAATTTGAAATGAAAAATTTTAATTTTTCCTAGCTTGAAAATTAAATGTCATAAGAATAGATGAAGAAATGAGAATTTAATAATGAATTCATGCAAATTCTATAGAAAGTGCTTTGGCCGAAGATGTGCTTAACTTTTATGCTGAAAGATTTGTAATACTTTTGCTTAAAACTTTCTTGTTGAAGCAATACACATAATTTTATACTTATATCATTTGTAGCATTTATTTGTTTTACACTAATTCTAAGCTGAATGTAAAAAATTTATAGGCTCAGTTTGGTAAATCTACAAAAGTTTTAGAACATATATGATAAATACAAAGGGTATGTAAATACATAAATTCTAAGGGTATATGTGATAAATTTCAAGACTTAGACTCACCGAGCAAAATAGTATTTTGTAGCATGCTACACAAAATATATATCTGTTAAAAGATTTTGTCACATGTTATTGTCACGAGCTAAACTCACTGGTACGAATTAATTTCCGTAATGTCTCTTAGATAAAAAAGAAAAAAAATAAGAACTTATAACTGACTGACATTAAGGAAACCCATATGACAAAAATTATAAGTACTGATCCAATAAACGGTTCTTTTAAAAATATTTAACAGAAAATACAACAGATTGTTAACAAACTGACATTTCCAAATTTAATACCCTAATGCAAGTTATGCTGTAAAATGTATTTCTATTTGTTCAGCAATTAAATATTGTCAGAATATATAAAGAGAGAATATAAATTTTGAAGAGAATATGAAGTTTCCTCTAAATATTTAATCGTTTTTTTACAAAAAAGTAAAAAAATAATTCCAAAAAAACACCATCAAGCAATTTTTCATTAAACTTTAATGTATGAAACTTTATAGTGAGTAAAACAAAATACACTTAACCATTTTTTTTAAAAAAAAAAGAATGGTCGATTACTATCCGCTAAATTATCAAGCAAATTTCTGAAAGGAGTTATACCTCCACTATTGCTATTTTCTTCAATGAAAAAATTTATAATTTAACATTTAACTCAAAACATTTTAATAATCGATATTACAAGCTTTAAGATGATACACAGTTCTGAATAATTTGCGCTGAATCGTAATATGCAAACATTGAAATTTCGATTCAAAACTCATGTTTTGTAATTGATGAAAAAATGAGGGTATTTACAAATTCGCAAAACAACTTTTCTAATCATCATTCTAGACTTGATAAAATCATTCTAAGATTCAATTCATATTATTCTAAGACTTTATCAAATAAATTACAAGAATATAATTTGAAACTTACGTTCTCATCTCATAGCATAGTCACTTTACTATGCATAAACGTTATTTTTAACTGTAGAGGTTCAGAGGATGGTTATAGATTTTAATGATTACCCAAAATAACGTTCGAAATATATTGTATTAATATTTTGATACGCTCAAGTAGTTATTTAGCAAATTAGTAATTTGGTCACATTATTTATGCTTTTTGAACTGAGTTGTTGAATAATTAGTTTCAATTTTATGCCTTTCCTCAACAGACCGTACTTAATTGTTGAAGGGGTGGAGACGGGAAGGGAAACTTCCAACATAAGCTAATTATGGATATTTAATTTATTTGGCATTATTTTTCGATGCATATGTAAAATACAAGATCACCATCCAATCACAGTTTGATGTATAAAGTGTGTGGTATTTTAGATTCTCAATTCATTTTTTCAGGCAAAATTATGCCAATAAAATTTAGCAATTAACAGTTTTTGATTGGTAGTTAAACAATATACAGTTGCCTGTTTTTAGACTTTTGATAACTACCCTTGTTTTTATGCAATTAAGGTTAATAGAATATTTTAGCGTCTTCCAAATCAGTTTTCTTCAGTTTAAATTGTAATAAAATTAAATTTTGGAAATTTAAAAACTGAAAAGCGTGAAACTTTAAATTATTTACTCAAAACCACAAATCGCATCATTTTATTGCTTTAAAGTTATGAGAAAAAATTCATAGGAGTATACTAAAAAGTATCACGTGCTATTTCTCCTTATCTAAATAAAATGACCTCTTTACTTTCTACTGTTTAACAATACTCCTTGTACTGTTTAACAATACTATATTTGTTTGCATTCCTGCATTTACCTTCCAATGAGGTAAACCTGGTACGAATCTCAGTGATGGCTGGTCGATACAAATTCCGCATTTTGCTGAACACCGACTACAGTGCTGACATAAAATATCCTCAGTGGTATACGGATCATGGGTTAGAGTGCCCTTGCTGTCAGGCTAAATGTTGGAGAATTTCACTGTTTTCCTCTCCATTTAACTGAGAGGAAATGCCCAGGTTCTAGAACTTATGTTTTTAATGAAGATGTCTACTTACCGATATCAGCTTTCTTGAGTGCAGGTGAATCATTGACACCATCACCAGTGACTGCCACGATAGCCCCTTGTCTTTGGCACCCTTCCACAATGATTAGTTTCTGTTGTGGAGATGTACGGGCGAACACAATTTCTGTGTGATGCTTCAGAATATTGTCTAGATAGTCACACGCCATGTCTCGAAGTTCAGAACCATGGACAACTGCAGCTTTTGCATCCCTGTCAAAGCGCACAAAACAGATTCTTATTTTAATGCATGTTAAATTAACGCGCTTCTTTTCCGCTTAATTAAGTTTTTAGCATTCAAAAGTTATTGAATTTATAAGTTTTAAAAATAATGGAAATAAGATAAGTTGTAAAAATTCTAATGTATTTATTCCAATTTCTTTTTCACCCAAGAAATTCACGACTAAATTCTGTAACAAAGCAATTAAGAATTTTAGTTATAGTTGCCATTTGAAGGACATCATATACATTAAACGCGGACATTTTACGTGTGTTTCTTCTTCTCAATGCTATCTAACAATGAGGTTTTTTCACCAACTGGTCAAAGTATTGGTTTTTTAAGATGTCTATCATCATTCCCCCTCAGGCATTCAGTTAAACATTTTAAATAGCAGAATTTTGCTTTTAACACTTGCTTGAAAAGTTTAATTTGCTTTCGAAACTCATACAATTTGTTTAGTCATTTAGAGCTAGTAATAGTGTTTTTAGTAATTTACTTTGTAGATTATAGATTCTTTGACCAATCCCAGGCTCACTAAAGGTTAGTTTGCTTAAAGTTGGTTAGCAGTTTCTGAAAACTCTTATTTATTAGCTAATTAGGGGTTCCTCTCCCGATGTTAGCACTATGTATATTTCATTGGTAAAAATTTCAAACAAACAAAACATAAACACACTTTACCAAAGTGGCGACACCACGCAAATTCTCTGCATTCAGCTGACTAGTTCATACGGGAAAACCTCTGTTTAAGGAAGTATAGCTGAAGATAGTTAAAGGAAGAAGAAAAAAATAGCTGAAACAACTCTTTGCTATTCATAAATAACTAGCTTTCTTTGATACAAAATGTGTGAACGTTAATTGTAGAATTTATCGATCTCACAGCTAATACGTACTTTTTTAATAATTTATATTTCGGGAGAATGCGCTGCTAACACTAGTTTAGATTTTCAAAACACGGTGATATAGCTATTAAAAATGGAATTTTCCCAATTCTACTTATCTCTGATATTGTACTCACCGCTGTATAAAGTAGAGAAGTATCTAAAAGCAGCACAGTATCAAACATTTTAAAGTAATTTTGAGATGTGTTTGGATGTTAAATTATCGAGAACATATAGGATACATAAGATTGAATTCCTCAGTAAATTTGTTTTGTACCTTGGATTAACGTCTTCCACTGGGATGTTTAGTCTAGCAGCGATATCATCTACAGTTTCGTTTCCTTCTGATATGATACCTACGGCTTTAGCAATGGCCTTGGCAGTGATAGGATGATCTCCAGTTACCATTATTACCTAAAAAAACACACAAAAGTAGTATAAGGAGACAGAAATTCTGTTTTCTCCATAAATATATTTTGAAGGGATTTAGAAAAAGGTGCTAATTATTTGTTCTTCAGGTTCGATTATACTTTTACAAAAAAATTCATTTGCGTTCATATGAAAATTATTCAAGGGAAACGGAAGGTCTAATTTTACTTTAAATAAATGTTTCAGAGATTAACAAACTCACAAAAAATATTATTAATTACAAAATTAAAAAGCAAATTAATGTAAAGGGGTTTTGTTTGTACCAAATTTTTATTTTTAAAGTTCAATTATAGTATTAATAGTACACATAAATCAAGTGCCACGAATGCAAATTAAAGTATGCATTAAACCAAGGGCGAGATATTCAAATAAAAGTAAATATTTAATCAAACTCAAAAATATGAATTTTCAGATGTATCGAATATTTTATAAAAAAATATTCTAAATAACTTTTAATTTTCTCTTGAGTCAAAATACACTCTTCTCAATAATTGTCTTATTTGAAGAACTTGCAATGCTCTTTCATTATGGCCGCATTTTTGGGTGGGTTCTGGCTTTCTCCAGGAGAGCATGGAATGGAATGGGTTGTTGGTCTTCATTTTGGTTTCTTAACGACATCATTAATTTTTTTGTCAATCAAAGCAACATTCATAAAAATATCGATTTATAAATAGTTTTATGTAATTTCCTATTGTTATAAACCAATTATTACTATTTCCAGATCAAACCTTCAACTATCTCTCTGTATTTGCATATAAAAAGATTATTCGTGATTGCTCGTTACTTTTGGTTTTTCTTTTAGTTTTTAAAACACCCTGCATGGCTCAAAATCTCCACGTGTGTTGGTGGGGTTCATCGAATCCTTATAAGAGATTTTTCTTTAAGCATCTCTAATTTTAATATTTTTTTTAAACCTAATCATTTTGTCTTAGTTGTAGTCTAGTCTTTGACCTCTTTCCCATTGGCTTAACTAAACACATTCTCTTACTCAATGGTCAAGCATTCTAGACGTGTGTCCTGCTAAATTCATTTGCTGTACTTTTATGTGTTCCACTTTATCGGGATCTTTATATATTTCATGCAGTTCAGAATTTAATCTCTTTTTTTTCAAGAACAGCTTATAAGAACCCCACTTCCAAAATACTTATACAATACTAATACAAATATAAAATAAGTATGCATTTTTCTTTTCTTTTGAAAATTAAAAGGGATTTCTCGTCCAAATTTCGTAGTCCATGTAAATACCCCAATGAATAAGACAATATATTTCTTATAAGGCAATATATAATAGTAAATTACTGAAGAACCTTGGGTAGTGAGAATAATTTATTTTTTGAAACAAGCTTTATAGTACTATATCAAAATAGAGAAAAAAAATGAAACTTAAATCTTACATCAAAATTACTACCAGTTAGCAACATCTAGTTGTACATAAACGCATCGCCCCTTTATAAAGTTAAAATTTCCGCATAAGTTTCACGCGTTTTATGAATTTCTCAATAACTTCTCACAATTTAAGGTACGGCAATTTAAGGTACGGCAAGAAATTATTCTATGCACGTCTCGTCGTAGGAAGATCGGTTTGTTTTGTGGTAATCCCACTCCGAACTTAATTTGGATAGGCAGTTGACGAAAACAGCTTAAATTGCTGTGTATACGCGCATTTTTTTATATCTTTACTTTTGAGCTTATGTTTTGAATTTTAATTTTTAAAAAAAACGTGTCAACTAATATTATAAACTATCTCCCTGCGACTACAGTTCTAAGTTTTAAAGCAAATCAGTATTCTGATTATCGTAAATAGATAAATAATATTAATATCTGCAAATATTTTTTATCAAAATGGAGGAGAAAAAGCCATGAATCCTACTTTGATTCCAGCACTTCTGCACTTCGCTACTGCATCTGGTACAGCAGCTCGAGGAGGATCAATCATGGAGACAAGTCCCAGAAACCTGAGACCAAAAATGGGAAAGTTCTCTTCGTCGGCATCAAAAGGATAACCAGGCGGAAATTTATCGGCAGGTAAGACGAAATCACAGAAACCTAAATAGGGAAAAAAATCGCATAATTACTAAGATATACTATATTTCAAAATAGAATATATAAAAAAAATTTAGAAAAAAAGAAAAAAAAAACACTGAAATATTGTAGATTAAATTAAATTTTTATACGCGTGGAATGCTCAGTTTAGAAACCCATGAAACTTTTTTTATGAAGCAAACTTACTTAGTGAAGAAAGTAAATTTTAATAAGTCTGAGAAACTTCAGAGTTTGAAAATTATATTGCCTGACATGCCAATGGCATGCAAACAAGCTAATCTGGCATGTATGTTTCACCCTTACATCCCTAGCATACTTTTTCATTTTTTGGTTGCATAGTTTATTTATTAATTTTGAAGGGAATGCAATTGCGTAATTGCTTATGCTGCAGCTGTTTTAATAAGATTAAGAATTTGACAATTTAAATCAATCTAAATATGCTTCTCTGGAGGAAAAGTTTTCTTTTTGCATTTTAATATTCTCTTCACATTGATTATTTTAGTTTATTTAGTTTAGTTTTTCTAAATTGTTATTACCAATGACTCTTTCTCCGAGTCCACCAAGCTCAAGGTATGCGTTGTTGAAGGCTTCTTTCATTTCCTCGTCCATCACTTTCTCTTCGCCCTGTATGTAGATTGTAGAGCAACGATCTAGGATTCTTTCGGGAGCTCCTTTCATGCATAACAGGTAGAAACGTTCACCATTATCTTCTACTTCATGTATTGTTACCTGTCATTTCGAAAAATATTTGAAAGAAAAATTTATACTAATAATAGCTCATAGTCATAAAATGGACAAAAAGGAAAATCGACGTTCGAAAATGATGAGTCTAATATTTATTAAAGAGTAACAAAACTAATTAGAATTTAAAATCATCAATGAATTTCTCAATAACGTTAAATTTAAAACAACTGCCGTAAAATGCTGCAACTTATTTTAATAAATTTATTTCATGGCAAATATTCGTAATTTTAGAAAACCGCAAAATAGGAATTGGTGAAATTATAAATAGAAATTGATTATTGTATTGGTGAAATCCAGCAATTAAAACTTAACCGATCAAGAGCGGTTCGACCGCAGATTCTCTCTAGAGTCGGCTGCTTTGGTTTTTAGTTAGTCTTGAGAAAGTATCTGTACTTTTCGCGAGCTCAAACGAAATTGTCCGTTTTCTGTTGTTATGGAGCATTTATATTTAATCTGATACTTTTTTGTGATCTTAATGCAAAATTATTGTAATTTATTTAGAGACCCATAGTCTATTAATAGGTTATCGACAGAGTGAAATGTGAACGTTTATTTACGTTTAGGAAATACCCCATTTCTGCCATAAAATTATGGTGTATTGGGATATAATTACGGTTACCTAGAATTAATTCTGTGAATAATTGCTCTTGAATACAGTCAATGATTTTCTTTAGAATTTATTCTATTAAGAGAAAGTACCGAATAAATGTGTTTTTCTGAGTTTTGATGCAGTTTAAACTTGCAGTCAGCCACTGTTAAAAAAAATTTAATAAACTTTTCAATGAGGACTCATTACGCCGTCTTTTTCTACAATTAAATTTCAGGTGAAAACAAGCAGGGAATGGCGACTCTTCTGAAGTTTCTTCATTTACTTTTGAGCTCAAATTTTACTGTAATATTTTTGCAGTGTGGCATAAGTGAAAACATATAGTTAATAAGTTACATGCAAAAGTAAGGAAAATCCCATTGGGGGCCAGGGGAGGGTCATGGAGAATAAGAGTCTACAATTTCGTTACCAACGACATGATTGTGGCAATGTGGTCAGCATTGGGCAGCAGCTTAGTTTGCGTGTTCTAAGGGAATATTTGGCTACATTAATCTCTGCAAAGATTAATAAACGTTTAACTTACGTGATATTTGTTGGTGGAGTTAAAGGGAATTTCACAGACTTTTGGATTTTTGTTGCGGTATTGTGTAACACTTCCAACAGCCAATTCCATACATTTTAAGATAGCTGATTCCGAAGCGTCTCCTGCACACTCCCTGAAATTAAAAGTGATTCAGTATCGTCTGAAAATTGATGTCTGAAGGTTATTTATTCCATAGGTCACAACAAAAAAAAATTTGATAGCAAACAGAATTTATATTATTGAAATATTGTTAGAGTTCTGAAGGAAAAAAAGCAATATTTCAATGATTAAAAAGGAAAATAATTATAAAATGAGGAAGGAAATGGATATAAAAAAGAAAAAACTATAGTACTAACTTCACGTAAGAATATATTGTTTGATTAAAGTCAAAAATGGAAAAAGAATTTTTTATGTATGGAATCAGTAAGAACTAACAATGATCATTGCAAAGAAACACTTCTAAGAATGAATTTTAGTAAAAATTATTTTTCCAGTATTATTTTACGGTTTAAAAATATCTTTCAAGTAATATCTTCTGACTAGTAGCAAACGCCATAAAGGAATTTTTCAGAGTATTATTGAATGAATATAGAGAGCGTTAGAAGGGACTCTTCGATATGTGATTTTATGATTAAGAGGTAATGCTTTCTTTCAAATGTTATTTTCTGTTTAATAGATTTCTTTCAAGTAATATTCGTTCGCTAATATCATGTGACACAAAGGAATTGCTCCTATTATTTTTTGAAGGTTGACTGAAAGAAATTGTTTTCAGATTTACTTGTCGAATGAAGAAACATTCTTCGAGGTCTGTTGTAATTATTATTCATTTAATTATTTAATGGAATATTTCAGGATCATACTACTTATAAAAATGCAAACTAAATTAAGTAACTTTTCGTATTTCTTTTTTTAAAAACTTAATCTATTTTCCAAATTTACTAGAAAAATTCTTTCCTTTTAGTAAACACGCATAAATACCTTTTTAAGATGGGAACACTGTCTTGTCCAGCTTTAAAATCTGCTCTACTACAAAGGCAACACACTCTTGCTAATGCTTTCCAGCCAAGGGATGATTTATCATATTGAACACCTAAAATAAATTTTTTGAAAAAAAGTTGTTATTGAAAAATTAAATACTAGTAAAAACAAGTGGTATTGAATTGAACAGTTGTTATAACAGAAAATATAAATGTCTAACACGAGCATTCAATATTCGTCAATCGTCATTACGACAGCAATGTTCGTCTTTTGCTAAAACTTTTCTTTTTATATAAATATGTTTTTTTATTGTATATTCATGAGAGTAGGGGATACTGCATTATCTGACCTTTATCTAGATCTGACTATTGTTACTTTTTTTATCTATCATCAGGGGTGTGATGTATAGAAATCAGGTATATCAACATCTCTTTCTTAATCCACATTATAACTTATGAGATTATGGGTAACTATATTTCTAAAAGAAAAATTTCGTTGATTTAGGTTCTTGCATTTTGTGACAAACAATATTTCTCCTAAATCACCTAATTCCATGAAATTAATTCTACCTCCCTGAATTAATTCCCGATTCCATGAAATTAATTATACTTCTATGAATTAATTATAATTCTATGAATTAATTCTAATTCTATGAATTAATTCTAATTCCATGAATTAATTCCTAATTCTGTGAAATTAATTTCTTTTTTTTTTATGGAACAAACAGTAAAATTGCAAATACACGCTAAAGAAAGTGGTTGAAACACATGCTAATTGTCAATGCGATAATGATTAAGCGTAGAATTTGTACATACTTAGATGTCATTTATACATTCGTTAGAACTGCATCAAGAAAAATGGATCAGGTAACAGAAGCATTGACATTCACAATAGAGGTTGACATTCACAAATGCGAAATTAAGCTCATGCTTTCGATGATTAAACTTACCTGATTGATCTTCTGTTGTATCAGCTTCAATGATTTGGTTATCGAACCACATGTGAGCTACCGTCATTCTATTTTGTGTTAAAGTTCCCGTTTTATCCGAACAAATAGTGGATGTTGAGCCTAAAGTTTCTACAGCTTCCAGATTTTTTACAAGGCAGTTCTTCTGGGCCATTCGTTTGGCAGTGAGGGTTAAGCACACCTAGATACAGGAGCATTTTTATTTATTTTTATTTCTCCATAAGTCTTACAAATGGAACAAAAATATATATGCAAGCAGAGAAGAAGGAGTAGCTTACTGTAACGGTGGCTAGTAATCCTTCGGGCACATTGGCGACGATGATGCCGATGAGGAAGATGACGGCATCCAACCAATGGTATCCGAGGATGAAGGCCGTAACGAAAAAGGCCATTCCTAGGAAGACAGCCACCCCTGTAATGATGTGAATGAAGTGGGCGATTTCTCGAGCAATGGGAGTATCTCCCATCTCCAGACCTGAAGCTAAATTGGCAATTCTGCCCATCACAGTTCGATCTCCGGTATTGATCACAACACCGCGGCAGGTACCTGCAATGTCATAAATTCCATTGTTAAAAATATATTCGTGTAAGCAGTCTTACTAATATAATTGAAAAAGTCATTAGAAAAACGGGTTAAGAGACATTCTATTGAGTGTTTTTAAAATGTCACTTAACACTTCATCAACTAAGTTCTTCATTTACTTTTGTACGGCAGGTGCCTGCAATGTCATAAATTCCATTGTTAAAAATATATTTGTCTAATTGAAAAAGTAATTAGAAAACGGGTTAAGAAACATTCTATTGAGTGTTTTCAAAATGTCACTTAACACTTCATCAACTAAATTCTTCATTTACTTTTGTACGGCAGGTGCCTGCAATGTCATAAATTCCATTGCTAGAAATATATTTGTCTAATTGAAAAAGTAATTAGAAAACGGGTTAAGAGACATTCTATTGAGTGTTTTTAAAATGTCACTTAGCACTTCATCAACTAAGTTCTTCATTTACTTTTGTATGGCAGGTGCCTGCAATGTCATAAATTCCATAGTTAAAAATATATTTGTATAAGCAGTATTAATAACATAATTGAAAAAGTTATTAGAGTAACGGGCTAAGAGACATTCTATTGAGTGTTTTTAAAATGTCACTTAACACTTCATCAACTAAGTTCTTCATTTACTTTTGTACTTTATTCATTTCCTTCAGCCCCATTTCCTTATTCAATGGATTTTTCGAATCTTTTTTATTAATGTAGTATTATGAATGACACATCTATTTTACTTAAATGAATTTCGTAAAAGTATTGTAGATAGATGCCATTTTTATTATTATAACACTAATTTTGTTTAAAATGTCTGTGCAAAACGTTAAACATTTTGACGATTCAAATATTTTGAGTGTAAGTAGTTTAGTTTTATAGTTTGATTTCGAATGTCGAGGATGTACTGTATGCGTGGATGCACTTGGAATGTCACTAAAAACAATTTCTGAACACTAAAAATGGTGGCAACTACATTACACAAAAGTGGTGATCTATTAAGTGTTCCACAACACAAAAAACTAAGGATAGTTCCTACTGTAGTGAAATACCTAGAATGTTCTTTTATTTTGCTTAGTGTAAAGCCCCCACTATGTTTGCTATTCAGTAACACTAAAATTTATAATTACAGTAAGATACGACTTATATAAGAATCAGTAAAGTTATTTGTACGCTACCATATAAATTAATAATCAGTAATTTGGATTGCATACAGACACTAACTCTTAAAATAAAATTAGTTTGTAAGTCAAACATACGCGTAGCACAGTGATATTATTAAGACGAATTTGAACTACTCTAAACAGAACAGAAATGGACAAAAGTTACACGTTATAGAATTATTTAATTCAGTTTTCAGAGATAGTTACATATTAAAATTTAAATATCCTTATGAGACGCAATTAAAAACATGCATGCATATTTTAACAGCTAACTTGAGTTTCTGTCAATGAAAAGTAGCATTGAAAACAACCAAAAACATTCGTCAACTCGTTATCCATTGTAAACAATTACAGACGATGTCCGAAACGCACCATCATTGGAATTTTCGGAAGAGAAAATATTTAATGTATGGTGTGAAGGCGTGTGGTTCTGGTGTACACTTTTTGAATTTTAAGTGCCCAGAGTTTTCATAGGCTATTTAAATAGTATTTAAAAGCTCATTTTGGTGTTAACTTGAAGAAAAAAATTATTCACGCAATTTTTAGGTTTATTTAACATTAATTTCGGAGAGATATTACCAGAGATGGGCAATTGTCATTCAGAATAAAGAATAAAAAATGATGAATAATTATTCAGAATCTTTCTGAATAATGAATAAAGATTTATTCATTAGTCAGAAATATTTTGAGTAAGGAATAAATCATTCATTGTTTTCAATCGTTATTCTTTATTCATTAGTCAAGAATAATTGAACAATTTCACTGCTCAAGAAGAATGGGCACGGAATATTCTAATTGACTACGATTGTGACTAGTACTAATAAAACGTGCAAGGTAATAAACTACTTGTAATTATTTTTATAAATTACAAGTAACGATTTCAGATAAAAAGTGATTATCATTACCTGCAATCACAAGACGCGATAACTGGTGAAAATATACATACGTACGTACAAATGCGTACGTATATGCGTACACGCAAAACACGTACAAAGGTATTTATACAATGGGTATGCTCTCGCAATGTACTTGCGTATGCACTATGTAATAGCAGTTTATATACGGTAGTTAGCTCATACAACGTACCCCCATATATATAAATACAGGCGTACATAAAAGAGTTGGGAGTCGAATACAGGAATCAATTACAGACAATTACAGCTATGTAATCAATTACTTGTAATCGTGGTTACCATTTTCAATGTCCATGTATTCACGTAAGCTCAATTCAATTTATGTTTATACAATTATGCATACACTCGATATATATATGTATATATATANAAACACCAGAGTAATAATTTGCTGTAAACTAAATGAAAAACATCATATTTACAGCTGTCGAGTTTTGCTTCTGATCTGAGAGGAGTACCAATGGATTAACATTCAAAACACAAAAACAATTTAATTCAATTTGAAACAGGTATTTTTAGGTATTATTACTATAAAATCAAAACAGCGGCTAAAATTATTTAAGAATATCGCTTGCATTCATCAGAAAATAAAAGGAGTAATTAACTAATGGATGTGTAAGCCTGTAATGTCGGAAAATGTTATTTCCATTTGGTGTTTGTAAATAAATATTTAATTATCATGGTTTAAGTAAACCTTTGCCGATTACAGATTCCCATGTGCAAAAAATAAATTAATATTTGTTAAAAGATTTCATTTGTTTATCCATTTATTTCAACTCGCAATTGGCAGTTATCAAAAATTGTTCTATTCGCAAGTTTGCCGGATCCGACATATTTCCTCTACTTTTATAACGTAAAGCTTAAAATAATATAATTTTAAAATCTATTTCTCATCCAGCGACAATTCGAAGCATTTATTTACACAATTTAATTGCCTGCTTACTATTAATCTCTTTTTATTTAAAACTCAAAATGCGAAACTTGTTCTTTAAAAATGAAATCAATAGTAAGCGTAGAGATATTCTATTTTGGGAATTCAAGGCTGAAAACATACCATTGAATAATAATTAGATTTATATTTCAAAGGAGGAGTTATTTTTAGAATCTTGTTCCTCTTTCACTTCCATATTAGGAAGCATTAAATGATTTTCCATAATGCGTAGAGTTACAAAGGTATGTACGACTGGAACCTGATTACACCAATCTCTGTAATATTTAATGCTGGACCGAAGGTTTTCGCATGTCTCTTGCTGAATAACGTGTACCAATAATAATTTGCCGGACCCATCCAGAGTCTTGTCCACACCCCCTCCCTTGTGGAGTGAAAATGTGAACTGTTATAACCACCAGCAGCATAACTTTTAATAAACCTTGTGATAACTTATTATGGCTTTTGACTTCATTTCTAAAGATGAATACACCAATGATAACAGGGATGTAGCCCTGTTATTATAAGNGAAAATGTGAACTGTTATAACCACCAGCATAACTTTTAATAAACCTTTTGATAACTTATTATGGTTTTTGACTGCATTTCTAAAGATGAATACACCAATGATAACAGGGATGTAGCCCTATTATTATATATATATAGTAAGAGAAAGAGTAGAGAGTAGATTTTATATGTATGCATAAAAAAGACTAACCTTCTACGCAATTCGTTGAGAAGAAAGCCACATTTTTTGTTTCTAGAGGGTTTTCATTGGTCATTTCAGGTGATCGGCTTTGGGGTTCGGACTCTCCGGTCAGAGAGGAGTTGTCCACTTTACAGGAAGATGCGGAGATTATACGAATATCCGCTGGTATCCGATCACCACCTTTCACTTCCACAATCTCACCTGCAACAACGCCTTCTGCTGGAATTGTGTATTTTTGACCTTCTCGTATTATTGTGGCATACTGAAAACACAAGTAGTCATCCGATTAAGTGAACAGAATTCCACTTCTTATTTCTTATATTGAATAAATAATATTAATTAATAAAACTAAGTAAATAACTAAAATAAAAGATCGTTGAAATCCGACAGCTGCTTCAGCGCTATGGGAAAAGTTTCAATATCACTGTCAAGTTAAATGAAGATGAGATAGGGAAAAGAAATTTTAGTTATTAATTTTATCATTATCATTGATTTATCTTGATTCTATATGCCCTTCAAAATGTTTTTCTCTAAATAAACATACGTTGAATATTTTTTTTAATAAGAATCCCCAATCGGAAAAGTATGGTACAAATAATTTAGGCAGGAGAGTGGTTATAAGTTTAGACCCCTTTACTTTTTGTGTATTTCGCTGTATCTGGAGAGTTTTTTAAGCGAATCAAAATATTTCCCCCCACAATTATAAAAATCATCTATCCATAAACAATTCTGCATAAAAAATAATTTTTAATAATTATTTAATATTTTACTTAACAGTAAAAAAAAAATGTTGAATAGTTAGATAAACAAATTTTTACATTCTTTTAAACTGTGTATTTTTAAATGATAAAATATAAAACTTTGAGTAAATTAGGTCAAGCAGCTTTTGAGTTATAAAATATTTTTTTAAAAAAATTGCATTTTTAATTTTTTTTTCTTAAGAACCATTCGATCAATTTTTCTAAAAAGTTTTACTTTTTATTAATATTTACTTAGTTGAAAATGGTGTAAAATATAGCATAACTTACAATTAAAAAATTTTGACCATTAATAAATAAAGTAATCAAAATATTATATAACTATTAAAATATTTTTTGCATGAAAGAATTTTTAGATAAACGATTTTTATAATTCCGTTTTTATAATTGGTTGCAATATGGTGCCCTGAAAGATTGGCCAACAAATTCGCGATACTGATATCTGAATGACGATGTCAATCAAGTGGACATTGGGGAAAAAGTCGAAAAAGTCTTTCAAATCGCGGCTGCTCCCTGTATTTTCACAGTCATAAATCCAAATCTGCCGGTAAAAGGGTATGTTTATTCTGAGAAAGTGAATTTTTGTGTCTGAATCTATAACTTTTAATAATTAGCCCTAGTTAATTAGCATATTTTGAGCCTGCCCTTTGAACCATTATTAAGATTAGCACACTTACTACATTAAAACATAAGTTATTTAAATATCTTATTTTCTGGTTTACTGTAATAGTCATAGTATAAAAACAACTGTCTGTTTTCAACGATATTTCATTTGTGCTTTTTTATTTGCTTTCTTTTTTTTCTGCGTTATATTTTGATACCCTCTTCTTTTCAATTAATTAAATTAATTTATAATAATTTTACAAATAAAAATATCAATGAACAATTTTCTTATCGCATTGACTTTACAAAGATTGCACCTTTAATAATCCCGCTAAATTTTAATTCACCAAAATATTTATCATTGAGTTAGTGAGAATTGAATGTTCTGATTTCAGTATTTGTATTAAATTCCACATTTTATAAAAAATTAAATATGATGCTTCTAGAAATGCAATTGGTGACTTCAAACTAACATAGAAAATAAATAACATCCGTGCTTTATCAAAATAGTCTACATGCACACTAAATCTAAATGAATCCAAATCTGTCACGCCCTACATTCACTTACCCGCTAAATTATTTTTTATTAATATCTGTTCATTTTGTAATATATTTTTACCTAAAAGAACTTTTTTTAATGTTACATTATTATGTGTTAAATGAGTACTAATATCTTTGAACTAAATGAGTATACGCAAATATATTTATGATTAATGAGTGAAACTTAAATCGAAGAATATATTCTTTACTTTTGCGTTAGACGAACTCTGTTAACGGAATTTTAAAATTGATTCTTATCAACTATTTCAAGTTGAACTTATAAGCAGCAGTTAAAAATCAAATTGCATGTATAAATAAGATCTAAATTTATAAATCTCTAACATAAACTAAGCTAGTTGTTCACTAGAAAACTTTTACTGTTTTTGAGTAAAGTCAACTTGAGTCAACTTTTGAGTAAAGTAAAGTAAGAAACACTTACCTGAGGAACCATATTTTTGAAGGATTCCATAATTTTAGAGCTTCTAGCTTCTTGATAATAGGAGAAACAACCCGTAACAATAACTACAACCGATAACACGATACCCAAATACAGCTGAAATCAGAAGTTTAAACTACATATGAATCAAATGGAAACAAATACTAAAAACAGCAAAAAGCAAAATTAGAAAATTTCAAACATGCGGTATTTATTATTGTCAATATTATTTAGCAATTATTATAAGAAAGTCAAGTTTTTCTGTTGAAGATTCTAGGTCTGGACTGGTATACCTGTTTTTGAATCCAATCTTTCTGAAATCTGATTAAATGAATTAAGTTAAAATATTTTATGCTATACATTTATGTTTTATTCCTACATTACATATCATTGTATTGCGATAAAAAAACGAAACAGTTTGCAATGTTTAAAAAAATTAATGGTTTTAAAAATTCAAGAATAGAGATATTTAGACTGCATTTTAGAAAATTCAATTAAAATATCACAGATTTTAAAAAATGAAATGGAATAGGAATTAATTATCGAGTCGCCAATAAGTCAAAGTTAAAAAAAAAATTTTTTTGGAAAACCACCAATTTTTGAAAATTTGTATGAGCACACAATTTTGTTTCAGTTCACTGAAAAATTTGAGCTTCGAAAAATCATTTTAACATATTACTTTTACCCGAAAAAAGTCTTAACTCATAGCTGTAAGGATCTTGCCAAGAATTTTTATGCAATACAAAAAATACACTTTTCACTTGTTATGATCTTGTTAATATTTTCTGTGCTTAGTAAAGAAATATTTATGCTTTATATCCGCAGTTTCATTGACTTAATTAAAATAATTTTATGACCTATTTTTGTCAGTACAAGATAATTTGTACTCTTGCAATCGTTATTGGTGCCTTGAAAAATTAACATAGTCAATATTTTTTGCCCGATAATTTGATTAAAAACTAATGAGGTGGGAATGATAATGGTTCGGTTTATAAGAATAAAGGTGTGTTCTTACATTGTCATCTGGGGGCTCTTCGAAAGTGCCAGCTTGGATGGAATATGCAATGAAACAGAGGATGGCGCCTATCCATAGTAAGAGGGCGAACCCACCAAATAGGTTTTTACAGAATTTCACCCATTCGGGAGTTTTTTTGGGAGGAGATAAGGTATTAGGCCCGTCTCGCTCGTAGATTTTACGAGCTTGAGCTTGCGTCAGTCCCTGGAAAATGTGCATTTTAATGTAATATAATGCAACATTGCAGTTATCTCTAATAAATGAAAGAGCTTAGTGGAAGATCATGTTAAATGACATATTGAAAATCAATATAATTCAAAAGATGATAGGGGGATATCTTGTTTCGGTATATTTCAATAGGCATATTTCCAATAACATTATAATTTTCTTCGATTAAGCTCTTCAAAGATTCAAGAATAAAGAATATAATTATAAGTAATGTAATATTTTTATATAAATAAAATTATAAAGAATATAATTATGAAGAATGTAATTATAATAATGTAATACTTATAAATAATGTTGATACATCCTTAGCGGAAGTGAATGTCAAATAACGTATCCAAAACACTCGCGTTTTCAGGTTTAAGATTATGTTATAGTCGATTAAAAGCGTATGACACATAATTGTAATTTCATTTGGGTTTGGGTTACATTTCTAAAAGATGCTGTGTTAACAGCTTGTACTTATATGTTCTAAAACATAAATGTCCACATATATTCAAATGCTATTTCCAAATGACTTCACTTCCTCTAAGCTTTACAAACATTAAAAAAATTAGGAATATAACTAATAAATAGCTTGAGGGATTGTCTAATAATTAACATGAGTGACTTATTGTGTTGCAATGCATGTCACAGCGCATTCGAATCGATTGTGATTGGTGGAGGGAAAATTAACTTAAACATGTATGATCACTAAGTCGTTTCTGACTATCTGGAGATTAAAGGCAGTCTTTTTGTGTAAGCAACGATGCAACACTGGATGAAGAAATATGATTGCCACCAAAATTATGTGTGAAACTCGGAAAGCTCACTCTCATAACTTTTCTCATGATAAAAACGATAATTGGTTATGGTTTACCAAAATTCCAAATCTACCAGGGACACAAAGCACTCTTGAAAACCGTGAAAAGTTCTGCGATAAATCGCTAGCTGAAAGATCATCAATGACCATCACCGACGAAAGTGTAGCGTGTGTCAGTAACCTTAACTCTGTACGTCGTTTGAGCATTCGTTTAACGACCAAAACATGAGACACTCTAACAAAGTACCGTTTCTGATATTGTGATGAACAATCTGCTGAGGATAAAAGTGTATGAGGGAAAACTCTGTCACTTTCGCTTTCCTCGCGAATCGCTTCTAAGCAGATTCAATGTCCTCGCGAATCGCTTCTAGGCAGATTCAATGTCCTCGCGAATCACTTCTAGGCAGATTCAATGAAACCAATAATTCCTCAGGCATCTTAACACGACTTTTCGAAACCTTTTCTAATTCCTGCCCTTAATCACACTCATAAAAGGAAATCATCTCGAACTGTCGACAAAGGTAAAGAGGCTAGCATTATGGCTCTACAGAGTCTTCAGGAAAAAGTAACGTAAAGCTCTTGATGCCTGGAAACCTCGTAGAAAGCAATGTTTCGATGTTAAAGAAGTTTGGTTTGTTAAAAAAATTATCGATCAAACCAATAATTTATTCTATTGTTCCATTGACATTACTTTCCGAACTAACCCTGCATTTTTTAGATCACTGAACTGACAATACTTTTAAAACTAAATGTAGAATTGTTTATAAGAATTACATTCTGTTAATGAATATTGCACATTTTTTCAAACCTTAAAAAACTATTAACAAATTAATTAATAAATTATAACTTAGAATTAAAAACAATAACAAATTTTTAATATTTTAAAGTAGAAAAAAAACTTTTTTTTAATGCTGTAAATAAATTCCTACCTTTTCTGGGTCTGTTCCTAATCGTGTATATAATTCCTGTAGTGTAATTTTGTGCTCGTCCTGAAAATCAAAATAAAAAGTATAAAACTTACAAAATTTTACGAATTAGTGAAAATAATACTTAGAACCAGCAATTCATCGTTATAAGCAGCATGAACTAATCAAACAAAATGGATTTACTCTGTAGTAGCAACTCTGTAGATTTAGTGACAAGTATTTGTTCATTTTTAAGTTTTTTGGTGGTTTTTAAAAGGATGGAAATCTTTTACAAATAGACCACCACGTAATTCGTAAATGTTGGCAATTATTTGTCAATATGGATAACTAATTATTTGTCAAGATTTTAGATTTTTGATTTTAAAATACCTTAACAATAATTTTTACCTTTTCTCTTTTTTTTCCTATAATAAAAAGTTTTCCGAAAAATAATGCAATTTATATTATTTTATAAGAATCTTTAAGTATAATATATTATATTTTGTAAGCTTAAAACAGTCTTTCGTTTTATATTTTGAATTAAAATGAAGTCCTGTAATAAATTTATTAGTTTTTTAACGAATTCAATGAATTCTCCACTATTACATGATTGTCCTTTTTTTTACATATCAATGAAAGTAATACCTAGACTTTACTTTAAAAGATAAACAAAAAGTTATGAATGGTTTTGTTTGTATATAAAATTGGGGATGTGCCAGCTTTTGTTTTATTTTTTTCTCTCTTGTATTAGGCAGCCAACTCGCACTTTCATTCATAAAAATCTTCGTGAATGGAAGATAGTCTGCTGAACAGAAGCCAACACAATTGCGATTAACATACGCTCGGCAACAATTTAATTTTTCTTCCGCTTTTCCAGGTGCACGTGATGGCGGAAGGTAAACTACGATGAAATTATTTTGGATCCATGTCAACAAAGAAACATGATTTTCAATACTTTTTGGACTATTTCCAAATCGCTACTTTGGTTCAATTATGTCGTTAAAATATTTCGTTAAAAGGCATCACTCTTTATTATGAAACACATCAGTTTGAGAACTGTGGGAAGGGGAGGTCAGTTTTTTTCTGTAATTCCTAAGTTAATAAGTTATTGTTCTGTTTACGAAGCACAGCCACATGTTGTGAGGAATAGTGAATACTTATTCGTAATTCTTTCAGAAAGGAGTACTTTAGAGTTTTTATTGAATTTTTACATTGAATTTCAGAAATATATAATCGCACAATTAGCGTTAAATATATCTAGTTTAATATCATTAGTTTTTCAGTCTTAGAATTTTTGAAGAATTTTTATTTTTGCGTTATTCATTTTAAAAAATAACTTTAAAGCACCCAAATTTGCTTACCTTTGTGAAATGATAAAAAAAATTGTATTCAAAACAAATTGACAAAAAAAACATGGAATTACTCACCCATAACTACTAAATTTTTACAATTTTGTTGATTTTTGAGAGAAAATGTGAAGAAGTAAGCTATCGTGTGTTTTATTTTCCAAACTAGTATTTTATTTATTGCATCTTTATTTATTAAAAACTTTATTTATTATTCTTTTCAGTGATTTTGTCCTATAAATTAAGTTTTTACCACCAAAAGGTGGTTCTTAAGATCATTAAGAAGCAAGAAAACTAGAAATGAAAGTTTAATTTAAAATTGAAGATGCGAGAGTTTGAAGCTCTTACGACGAGACAAGCATAAAACATAAAATCTTTTCAGATAAAATAAATATTGCACAATTTTTCTTAACAAGCTTATAAAAAGTAGACACCATTATAGTGTTTATATGCTTTTTAAAATTCTCTAAATTAATTAAAAGTTTTGTAAATTTTCATTGAAATTGAGACTTATTTCGAAATTATATGCTTCTGAAATAAAATTTTTTTTTACTCTATAATTTTCTCTACCACACTATAAGTTTTAAACACTATAAACACCATAAGATTTAAACCAAATAATAATAAACTATCCATACATAGCCATCATTTTTCAAGCTTTCTCCTCTTATTTGAATAATATTTCCACAAATATATTTATGTATTTTGAGTCTTCAAATATGTTATTTTATTTATATCTTCGCTTTTTATCTATTAAATTGTCTCCTTGCCATATGTAAGACATAAATATGTAAAAATAATGATGATTTTTAAAAGCTCTGATTTTATTCTATCACGATTCGTAAAAAAAAAATTAACCAATCAAGTGAGTTTATAACGATTAAAATTAATGTTTATTTCCATAGTCCCGTATTTTTATTAAAATCAAAGATATTTCGACTGACACATTTATTATTTAAGTATAATATTTTGCATAAAAACTGAATTTGTGTAAGATGAACTTAAACGTTAAGTACTTAACTACTGCAACTGTTAACTAGGAAAACTTCGTATGTTACATGTTATAAGAACCTAAGATGCATCTATCTGCCACATAATTCTTGAATTTGTTGTCAAATCATGCTACAATTTCCTAAAAAGCAAAATTTATGAATTTTTTTCTTAATGAAAGCTTGATAATTTACCTTTATGAACAAATGCAACCTTAAAAATAGATTTGATCAATGTTGCATATTTTGATAGTTTATAATAAGCTGTACAATTATGCAAACTCATTACTAATATTCTGCAAACCTTCAGTTTAGAAACTTTATTTAAAAGATTCTTGTTATTTTAAAGGAGAAAAAATTTTTTGTTTGAAAATGTAAGTGTGGCTCCGATAAAAATGACAACAATGACAAAACCGCCTCTGGCAACTGATGTCTTAAATACCAAAAGAGATTATGTTAAATATTTATAGAGCCAGATTTTTGAGAATAAAAATTTAAATAATCTTTAAAGCTCTGGTTTAATGTGAATAAAAACCCTTATATATTTAAATCTATTTTAACCAAGTCTTCCATGTAATTTATGAGAAAAATATTTCTTCCTAAAAAGAAGTCATTAATCATTCTTAAATGAGTGTAATTAATGAAGTATTTGGAATTAATTGGTTTACTTGAAGACAAAATTGAGCTTAATGCCCTGGAAATATTTCTATGATTAAGGCGCATGTTAATGCTCACGCTTAGATTTTACTAGGAATGTTTTATTATGATTAAAATTAAAACTTTGATGAAATACATTTCCTCATTATTTCCTTTACTTTACATAAACAATTTTTCTGAAATATTATGCCATAGCTGTTAGATAACGCTGATTAAATATTCAAAATTATTTTAATGCGTAAAATTAACATAAATTGAAATAGTTTATGTTATAACTTATTTTTGAAGAAGTTAATTAAAGTTCTACTAATCACTAATCAGAAAATAACTTTTGCATCAACATGAAAATTAATTTTATATTAGTAATCTATTAAATTAGTAATCTATTAGTAGTCTATTAAATAAAATCTATAGCAAAAATTTAATACTTTTATAATAATTTATCGAAAATAAAAAGGATGCATTCCGCAATAACTCAGTCCCGTAATAATGTTTGTTTTAAAAAATGGAAAACTTTTACGTAAAAATACTAAAAAACTCTAATTTTTTTCTAAATTTTTTTAAATCTTTGTAATCAGGGATTAGTTCCAGAAACCAGAAGTAGTTTTTTTATTATCAGTTGTACATGGTAGTACAGTGTAATTAAAGAGTTAGTTTGCTAAAGTACTTTGTACTGTTGGCTATCAAACTGTGCCGATTTACTGGAGTCACAGCTTACTTAGAGATCCACCATATAATAAGGGTGCTCGCAAGAAATTTTCCCTTTAATTGGAATTTTTCAAATTATTACTTCTAATTAAATAGCGCATAGTCACGAGAGCTGCATGGCATCGTTCGAGCTCCAACGTGTTTCGGGAAGCGTATTAAGGCATTACAGCTAATTGAGAATTGTTGTTTCTGTCACGAAATTTGTTTATGTCCGTCATTTGTGGTTGTTAAAGTTCATCCAAACATGTTTTTCTTCGCTTTTCTTTACTCACGTGAACGTCATTAAAGTCCGTTGAAAAACCAGAGAAATTTTTCAAAATGTGAATCAGTTTTCTTGCTTATAAATAATAGTTTATTCTTGGTTTGTAGATTAACTTTTAGAATTATATAAATAGTGTTCAGAAGAATAATAGGATTAGTTGTTGTAGGGTATGTTTGTTTATTGAAATAATTTTCAAAGTAATTTCCTGTGAAAGAGAGAATGCCAACTAAATATCAGTTTAGCCTTTGAATATGAAATGTTTTCCTGCTACTGAGCCTTTTTCGAAGTATTTAATAAAAAAAAATTTAAAAAAAAAAGATGAATATAAAAAATGAACTACCACCAATAAAAAACATTTGATCTATCATTTTGGGTGCAAATACTTCAATTTTAAATTTTTTTTTTTAACAATGTTGTATGTTCTACGCATATGTTACTCACCATATCAACCTCCTGTTTGAGGTCATTTAAGTCGGGTTTCCCCTTCGTTTTCCCCTTGTTACTCATTGTGACACTGTCTTTTATAGACTGCTCTTCGTTACAAGTACTGTTGGCAGTCACTGCCACCCGGTTGCTGTCCGAATCGTTTGGCTGTAAAGAATCACATAAAAATCAACATTTTATCTCATCAGGAAAATTTCTCTAGATATCCGTAAGAGTTAGCCATTAAAACTTTTTAAAATACTCTTAAAACACAATTATATCACATCAAAGAGCAGTTATAGCAGTTTAATTTTGTATATCCGGTTGACAGGGATTTTGTTGAAAATAAGTTTTCGCTGACTTTCCACAAAAAAACAAAGTTTTTTTATCCTTTGTCTGTTATAACTGAGTCAAAGAAATACATAATAATTTGATTCTTTTTTCAAACTTATTTTAAAATTATTTTCTTCAACAATTTCACCTTTGAATGAATTAATACTTTTGTATATTTTATTATTATTTTCTGAAGTTACTCTATGTAAATAACTATTTACCTTCTGAAAAAAATACATTTATGTTTAAAGGAGACTCACATTTATACAAAGTGCACTTAAAAAATATTTTGAAAAAAGATGATACTCTTTGCTCAATTAGCTTTTATTCAGCTTAGAGAACCGAAAAAGTATTAATGTATAGAAAAGGTATTTAAGTATAATTAATTTGAAAATGATAAAACTGGAAATGGAGAAGACTTCTTAGAGAACCGATACGATAAATCAGCGAACATTATTTTCTTTCTGTTTCCTTTATTCTAAAACGCATTTTTTTCCACCTCAGCTATTATAGTTATAAAAAATTCATTACATAAGTGCAATTATAATGTTAAAGTTTTATTATAAAATATGGTCTTCAATGACAATGTAAAAAATGTAAATTGAAAAACATTTTGCCTTCTCTAAAGAACACTAATTTTTTTCTCTTAGAAAGGAAAACAACAACTTATTTATCATTTCAAAATTAATACGCAAAACCACACACTAGAAAACATATGTTGAAATTAAAAACTTGCTTAAATTTCTTTCTTTCTTAATAAAAGAAGAAAACAAAAACTTTCCTCTCTGAATTAATATCGTCTACTTCTTCAATGGATCGAAAGTTTCAAAAATTAGTCTAAACATGCTTAAAATTTTTTTAAAAAAATCGACAAAATAATTTTTTTTACCTAAAAATGGCTTAACAAAACTATTTGTACACAATAGCAATATTTTCTGTCGTGTTCAACGGCACCGATATTTGGATTGGTTCATCGAGCTGGTAGAAGATTCAAATAATTTAGTTCTACCATCTCAACGAACCAATCCACATTTCGATAACTTTAAGATGTCAGAAGATATTAAGTTATAGTTCTAAAATTTTTTTATATCAATATTCTAGTTAAGAAATAATTGTTAGTACCGCCAGCCAACTAATAGAATCTATGATTTTTTATATACTTTTTCCTAATTTAAAGCATATCTAGTCAAAATTTCGTATATTTTGGCCCATTGCGGTTGAAGAAAATTGTGCACAACTTTAATGTCAGAATTGTAAGATAGTGCCTAATTTTTAGTGTTGGCAGTTAAAAACATTCACTCTCAACCCTTAAATGATTTAAGATTCTACGTATCTTTCGACCTACACTAACGTATGTTTACTTTCATTTATTATGCTTTAAAATTTTACTTAACACATGCTTTTTTTTTAAATCGTAGTGGTTCTATTTATTTATTTATGTACATAACTTGAGCTTTCTATTTTATTAAAATTTCATCAATTTATTAGTCTGGCTATGAAAAAAGGAATGAAGTTCTTTTGTCAACCAATGAATAAAAATTGTTCTATTTTTAGAACTCGGCTTTCAATCTGTGCTTGAGATTTAGCGTTCCAATTTGTCCAAATTAAATATAATCCTGAATAGTACTTGGAGAAAGCACATTTTTCTTTTATCTCCCACTGCTATACGTGGGGTTAATATTTGGGCGTCACCCGAGTGCTGTAATTTGAGCTACAGCACGCAAAAGCCCCACCCGAATGTTCTGATACGTTATAGACCTCATTTTAGAATTCGGTAAATGACGTTGAGTGGAAAAGAATCGATAGGTAATTGGTGGCATCAATTTTTTGAAACTGTACTTTAGTTTATTTCTATGAATATTATATTGTTTTATTACTGAAGTTAGGTAATAAAAATATACAAATTTCAAAAAATGTATTTCAATTTTTAAAATTACGAGTTGGGTTTAACACTGTCGGTAACTTTCTGATTACTGTTTGTAACTTGTAGTTACAGACTGTTTATTTCGACAACTTCTTTAGAATAACTTTGTTTAAAGAGATTCTTATATAAAAGAGGTAATTTTGTGCTTATCAGAAATTTCATTTACTACTTGAAGTGACGCTTAAGTAGATTTATACCAAAATAAAGTGCTTAATGAAAGAAGGCTCCTAGCAACATTAAGAAAAAGTGTAAAATTTTGGGTTTCAAAACATGTTATTGTCAGCTGCATCAACAGAACTTAATTTCTCTGCCAGATCTTTAAATGAAATGATTTTTAACAGGAAAATGCATCTTGTAAGTAACTACCTGCAATTGCAAAATTTTGCACAGCAGAGTTTTTAAAATTCAGTGAAAAGTCACTTAGAACATGCTTCTAGTAAATGTTTTAAATTGCAGAATGTAACTAGAAACTTTGGATCATGATTAACCATAATATTATTTAAATTTTTCAAAACCTTAATAAGTTGCCAAGTTGCACTTTAGTGCAACTTGGCATTAGTGTGCAAATTAAACCATCTTACACTTAGCACGATATTATGAGTAAACTTTACTGGCAATAAGATTCGATTTAAAACATTATTAAAGTTTAACTTTATTTTAGTTCAAAATAACAATATTATGGTGCAAAGCTGAATTGAGTTATCTGATTGTGAAGCCAGTGAAAAAATGGTCGAGAAATAGTCATTATCATCAATATCAGTGGCTCAGGCCTAAACTTTATCCACCTAGACACGATCTTGGTGATATCTGATATCTTGGTGATCCTGAAGCAAAAAAATATAGAAAGGAGAAGTAGGTTAGCTCTTCGAATACTTAGCTAACTGCTCGGTGTGGTTTGCTAAATCAGAAAAACAACTTACAGGGGGTGAAACATATTCTGATTTAGCAGAGTAAGATAAAGTAGAAGTCTTATTAAAGAGAAATTTCTTTCTGAAAAAGATTTATAGCATATAAGAAATTGAAATTACAATAATAGCATTGGAATTCATAATACAAATTCTTACATGAAAATTAATAAGCATATTTTAAGACACAAATGTATAAAAAAATCTATATATAAATTTAACTTGAAAATATCACACACACAAACACATAGGGTAAAATGGAAAAAGGGAAAGATAAAAATGTCATTCCATACTGCTAACATAATAACATATATAAGTTAAAAACAAAACACATTCAAAATTCCACTTATTTCAATCACTCAAATATTTTATTATAGTGCAGTGCTGTAGTATTTTCGCACAGAAATAATATCAATTACTTCTCTGAAATTGTCATGTGTCTTTAAATATCTCAATTAAATTTATTGTATTTAAATACTGTATTTAAACATGTCAATTAAATGAATGAAATATATTCACGAGTTATAACTATAAAATGATACTGTGCTTTTTGATAAACTATATTTTCCTATCTCGTTATACAAGATTTTTTTGAATTAGATTTATATTGATGCTATGTGCTTTCAAAATGTATATGATTACGTATCTAATTACGTAAAAGATATATATTTTAGAATTAAATGTAAAATTATATTATATGCTTTCAAATTTCATAATTACTCGTCTCATTTAAAGGAGTGAATTCTATCTTAAAATCAAATATATAATGATGTGTGCTTTCAAAATATTTATATTTACGCATCTCATTTAAAAGAGAGAATTCTATCTTAAAATTAAATATATAATGATATGTGCTTTCAAAATTTATCTTAACGTATCTTATTACATGAGAGGTATATATTTTAGAATTAAATCTGAAGTGATATTATGTGCTTTTAAAACTTATAATTACGTATCCTATTCATATGAGAGATACATCAAATGCTTAATGATATTGTGCTTTTTTTTCCTTAAAATTTCTGATGAAGTATCTCATTTTATAAGAGATATATTTTGAAATAAAATTTATAATAATGGTGTGTTCTATTCAAAATTTATCATTATATGAGAAAAATTCCTCTCATTATATAAGAGAAATATATTTCAGAATCAAATGTATACTGCTAGTATGTGCTTTCAAAATTCGTTTCTACCTCATTTAAGCACTCGTCTTCCATCGAAACATTCATCAAGTTAGGCTAATCACCAACTTAATTATGCTTATCTAATTAATAAGTCACTCATTTGCATTTTACATCTTTTTAATGACATGGCGGCTTAGATTTTCCGGTACAATATATATTTTTTAAATCGCTTTAATACTCTTAGAGTTATTATTGGGACCTCATGTAAAATGCATATGAACTCATATAGCTTCTAAGCTAAACACCACTATGACACTGAATGACTATTTAGTGCAACATATATATATATTATTTGTGCTGGCACACTTCAATCTTACTCACTTCAGGAGCTAATCTTCATTTAGGTGTCAACTTTCTTCAAAAGACCTCAAACATTCAGTCAACCTGTAGAGAAAGAACTAATCTTCAAAATGCTATGTTGTTAAGACACTATAGCATTTTGCTACGATTTGTTGATTGCTATGCAACTAACTATATGCTAACACCTACGAGCGTGTGCCGCAAGAGAGCGTGCCATTGTAAATTTCATATTGCACCATAATGATGAATGCATACAATTGTTTAATTTTGTGAAACTATGCAAGAACTTCTATTCAAAGCGTTCACTGAGAATTGATATTGTTGTCCTTTCAACAATGATTTATTCAATTATTAAAATTAAATTTATTAAAAAAGTTTAATTTTTAGAATGCTGATGCTTAAAACACTGATATAAACTTACTGTTATGTTCAAACGGCTAAAGGTTGTGTTAAAATGCTTATTCAGTATAATGGGATGGATTTAAATTCTAAGAAATAATTATTTCATCCGTAGTATTTTTTAACATAGATTCTATTTCATAAATTATTTATTGAACTATGTGCTTTGATTATTACAGATTGCTATGCAACTAACTATGTGCTAACACCTACGAGCGTGTACCGCAAGAAAGCGTGCCACTGTAAATTTCATATTGCACCTATATATTCAGATGAATGCATACAATTGTTTAATTTTGTGAAACTACGCATAAACTTCTATTCAAAGAGTTTGCCATTGTTACAAAGGAAATTACTATTGTTGTCTTTTCAACAATGATTTTTTTAATTATTGAAACTAAAATTACTAAAAAAGCTTAATTTTTACAATGCTTATTGTTAAAACACTGACATACTGTTATATTCAAAGAGGTAAGGGTTATGTTTAAATGTTTCTTCAGTACAGGAAATTTTAGGAAGGATTTAAACTTTAAGAAATAATTATTTCATGCTTATTGCTTTTTAACATAGAATCTATTTGATGAATTATTTCCAAAAAGTTTCATTATTGTTGGTGGTATTGTATTAAATAACTAGTTGCAAAATAATATTGCTTTAAGTTTTACACATACGCTTTAAATTTTTAAATGCTTAAGAATTTGTAATGTCTTTATTGCACACATAAATACTTAATTATCAAAGAGATACTTAATAATTTTTTTTTGTATTGTAGAAAATTCAGCAGTTTCCTTTCAGATAATAAAAATACGCATTTTTATACCTCAAAATATTTTATAAAATAAATTCTTTAAAGCTTAGTTTATACATAAAGACATTTATAAAGCCTTTAAAAATATGCTTTATTCAAAACATGCATTTTATTCATGCAATATGCATGCATTATTGGAATTATTTAAAGTGCATATAGACACAGAAGAGTGAATACAAAATGTATGCATGAATATAGACACTATAACAGGAGAGAAAAACATGCAGAGAGTGTATGTAAATAGGATTCTTAAAACAACATTTATATCAATATATTATGATGACTGACATGATACAAAATTTAGACAGACAGTGCATCACTGGGGTACAAAAATGTGATAATATTTTTTTATAAAGACATTTGTTTAAAAATTCGCCCTTTTTACATTACAAAAAATATTAAAAGGATTGTTTTTAGACACTTTCAAAAAAAAAGCTGCTTTATTAATCAAAAACGGAAGAATTGAGCCATCATTATCGTTTTTTTTTCCAAAAAAAATTACTTTCCTTTAGTACAATGGCCGATATAAATAATATTATTCTACGAACAATAGTTTAATATCCTAAAATAAGTTACTGTTCCTTCAGTAAAACAATAATTGAAGCTATCAGTATAAAAATAGTTTCTTTAACTCTATAAAAAATCCATCGGAACTCATGTTTATAAACTTATTGCTTTTAAATAATAAAAAGAATGGTTTTAAAAATAACTTTTTTGTCACTTTTTATTTCTTTGACACTTTACTTCAGTAGCCAATAAAACATAAAAATAATTTCTTTGCCCCAATGAGTTAAATTTGTACACCCGAAATTTATACGAAAAAGTAAACATGAAAATTTAAATCTGAATTATCATAATTCTTATTGTAGTTTGCTTTCATACAAGTAACTAATTGTAAATAATTGCAATCTTCATCTAAATTCTAGGTATGGAAGGTAATTAATTTTAAATTAAAAAAATTAAATTAAAACAATTAAAATGTTTCTTTGCCACAGTGCACATTTATCTTATACATTTATTTATTTTAATGAAATGCAATCAGTTCCACAATGGAAGAAAATTTCCTATTTGATTTCTCTCAATTCTTTCTGTAATAACTTTTCGTAGAAAGACTAATTATATGAATATTTTTTGTAATTACCACCATTGAACTGTTTCTTAGCTACAAAATATATTTTTTAAAGTTCCTAAACGCTATCGCTTTATTAAATTAAATTGTAACTGATTTAAAAAAAGATATCAATTATTGATTCTCATATTATTCCTCTTAAAATTTTCTTTTTATAGCTGCACTACTTGAGCCAAGAATCATAGTTGTCATCTAAAATGTAGAATTTTTTTTGCGTCAATTAAGTAATTTTCTAAGTCTATAGAAGAGCAATTTTTCGCCGTTGGAACAATCAGAAATTAAAACTTCAGTTATTTATCTTTATGATCATTTATTTTATTAATTTTATTTTTATGAATTTGAATAATATTATTTTTACGTATTCACACTTTAAACTAAGATATTTCAAGAATAGATAAGAATGTTTAAGATATTTTTTGATACATATATTAATTAATTTCTTGAGGCACTTGTGGAATAAAATCATGGAATTGCCAGAAGTCTTGCTGCTTCTATTAAATGAAATTATAACAATCACAATTATTTCATTTCGAATTTATTTTCAACATTATTTTTCCCATGCATTGAAACTGTTACCACAAAAATAGTTATTTATATAAACTGAAATATTTTCCTAAAGCTAATATGCTTAAGCCAAATGGCGCTATAATACTTCCAAAAGCGATATATTATTTAATTTTAATTATTCCTTTTGCAATTTGTAGATGTTTTTGTAGTAAAGATAAAAAAATTTCAACTCAAGTTATGCTTATTTGTTCAAAAATTGATATTCGATAAGCTTATATATATTTTTTATTCTAATTAAATGCATTTCCACTAATTGCGAAAAAACAGTATCTCATATATACTTTTTACATTTTATTATATTTTTTTGGCTAATTTTTCGACAATAACATAGTTTGTACTGCACTGAATAAATGTTAAGATCTACTCTATATTTTCTAGATTCTTTAAGTTAAAATAAGAAAATCGGAGGGAAAAAAGGAAAAACAATTAAAAGTGCATGTAAGTGATTTAAACATATATTTTTGTTTTACATCCACTTACGTAATGTATTTAATATTAAAAGTATCATAGTGTATAAAAGAGTTAATGTAATGAATATATTAATATAAATGACTTCCATCGCTTAAAAGTATTTCACTGCTCAATGATGGATCACCACGTCTAATGATGGATATTAAATTTCCCTTTTAGAGAAACGAATGAATCACAAAATAAGTTTTTGTGGTATCTTAAAATCGTTGATGACAAAAATGGCGCTATATGAAATCGTAAATTCAGGCGTTGCGTGTCTTTTCTTTACGTGTAAAATGCTATCTGTATTATCGATTATTCATTTACTTTTTATTTTTTTTTAAGAAAAGAATAAATACTATTGATGAACTGTGTTAAAGTATGCATTTTAGATGTTTCTGAGAATATATCTTAAGCACATTTTTTAATGCAGTTCTTTTGGTCACATTATGAATATTTAATGTTAGTGATTTGCTATCAGAAACGTTTTAAGTTGTAGATTTATTTCTATAAGCGCAATTATATTTGCATTAAAACAAATATTTATATCAATTCCAAGAATTGCAAAAGTTTGATGATGTATTCTTATAAATTTATTTGAAACAAATTAAACCCCAGGGGAGGCTTTTTCATATTTTTTTGAGCAGCATGTTTTATTTCTAATCAGTGTTTTTTAATTGAAAACAACTTGCAAACCTAACTTTGTCATCTAAATTTTTTTGTCTCCCAAAGAGTAAAAAGCTCAAACACACGGCATAAAAATGTTATTTTAATTGAAGAGGATGGATATTTTTGGGATAATTACAATATCCGTATATAAGGAAGTCAAATTATTAATTCCCCAACCATGTTGCATTATTTTGAAGAAATAGTAGTAACGTGAATATAGATATACATACGAATTTCATATTTTTTAAACAAGTTTGAAGTTTAATCTCTAATTATTGGAACCTTAGTTTTAATGCACTCTAAGAAAGTTCCGTAAAATTCAGTAACTTGAGCGTTAATTAATATGGCCAGCATAAAGAAACCTAGTCACCGCAACTGTAACGGAATTCAGCCAAATTTAGTAGAATTGATCGTTAATCTACACGGCAAGCTCCTTTCAGTAAAAAAAGAAGAATAAAAAAATAAAAAAAATCCATTGCCTGTAGTCGTAACAAACTTCAAAATTAGTGGAGTTGGCCATTAATTTATACGGTTGTTATGTAAAACTTTCGAACAGAAATCGGGGGTGAAATCCTATTTTCGTGGAGGTTACACAATCAGGTTGCAGGCACTAAAGTCCCCAATTCGATCCTAGTATCGCTTCCCGCAATACTTCAATGTTGGTGACCACAGTCAACGATCGCGCAATTTTAGTCCTAGGCAGGTGGCAGAATTTCACTATTTGTCAGCGTTCCACGATTCGCCTCGATTGACAAACGAATTCCCAAGTATCAAGAAGCGATGTACTGGAGGTAGCTTTTAGGAGCACACAACGTTAATTTACGGTCAGTGACAATATATTTTACGGAAACTTATAAGCAGATCTGTATTTTTATGGTCATGATAAGTCTATGGATAGAAATTTATATTTGCTGATCACTGACCGCAATATAGATATATCGTTCCTTAGAGTAAAAGTTTTAAAACTAAGAGGTAACTGAAGGTTTTAAAATAACTGTTTTTAAGCAAAAGGTTTAATGCGGACACATTATTCAATGGACATAATTCGAAAATAACATTACT